GTAGAGTACTCTATTTCCACTCCAGCGATTTGGGTTCGATCCCCAGCAGATGCATTTACTTTTTATGACGACATTCGAAGATTGCATCTATAAATAATGCAATGTATTAATCATTTCATGATAACTTTCATACATTGAAAATATGATGCAATATACAACTGAAGAACAGAATAATGTTGTCATCATGCGATGAGAAGCAACGTCTTTGATATGAAAAAACCAAAGACTTTATTATTTGAAATTTATGTTAACTTTCCCTGACGCATACGCTGCAAATAATCGAGCTGTTTTCCTCTTCATATTTCAAAAACAAAATATTTAGAAAATGAATTTTTATGTCGGTAAAATCTTGTTTCTGTCGCTTTTCTGGCTCACATATTGAGAGTGGGTATGGGTGTGAGTTTGTCTGGGTGTGAGTATGAGTGTAGGTGTGGGGTGGGTGGAGTGTGAGTAGGTGTGAATACGGGCATTAAATCCATCATACACCTACACCCATACTCTGAGTATCTGTTAAATTGCCAATATATAGGTATATGATTACACTTTAAATATTCATTATGAAAATTGACACTGAATTATCTTACAAAAGTAAATGTTTGATATTTGAGTATCTGCTGAATTGTCATACATATAGTTATTACACTTTATGTATTCATCATATGTATCGATACTTTGAATTATTATTCAAAAGTAAATGTTTGATACCTGAGTATATGCTTAATGTTGATACCTATTGGAGGAGAAATATGCTTAATGTTGATACCTATTGGAGGAGAAATATGCTTAATGTATTCTATATATATATATATATATATCGAAACTTTCAATTATTATACAGAAGTAAGTATTCGATATTTGATTTGTTACCGTATTTTTCAGTTTTGTGCAAACTAAATAGCTGATTTCTGTAATAGCATGAGATAGCACATAAATGTCATTTAGTAGAAACTGGTAACAGTTTACGATTTGCCACGACCCCGCGACATTCTAAAAATGAGATAGGTGAGGTGGGTGTGAGTGTACATCTATCTTTTCATTACCCACATGCACACCCTCACGTCCTAATTCTGTACGGTAGTTTTCATTATATCGTAAATTTTTATAAACACATCAGAAGAATCCCCCCCCCCCCTCCCCTATAATAGCAGACTTCATATGAAAACGAATTTTTAAAGTAAGTTCTAAAACTTTTTTATGTTTTTAAAATTTATGTACATGTTGATATTTAAGTATTTTTATGATGAACTATATTTTGCTTCCATCATCTAAGTAGCGTGGTAGTTCTGAGTTGAACAAATCGTGAGTAAAAGCTGACAGAAAAGAGCGATTAATAAAAACAATCTTTTTCGTATTAAAAAGTATCTTCCGGTCAATTTAATGTCCTTTGCAGCGTGGTGTGAAGAAACTTGTTAGATTCTCTTCGCGGAAATATTTGATTCAACGATCATAGGACGTAACTGATGCGATACGCATCTAATGTGTTGCACACGAAGGCATTCTTATGAAAAAAGAACATCTTCAAAAACAAAAGCCTATTTTTCATGACTTCATACTTTGCGTCCTTTGTATATTTTTTTTCTAGAAATGCTAACAAGTTTTCATCTTAGAAGATTTTATTTATCATTAGAAAAAAATATCCTTGAAGACATGTAACGATTTTATGTGTTTTAGCGTTTTCCTGGTAATTCATTTTTAGCAAATATAATAAGGCAACATCTCGAAGTAGGCATCAGAGTTTCTAATAGAAATCTAAAATAAAATGTATATGTACATTTTATTTTTCTTAGCCAAGTGTATGTGTACATCTTGTTTTCGTATGACAAGTGTATCAAAGTGTATACACTTGACTAGTGGCGTAACCAGAAATTTAAGGGTCATGGGGCTCAGCTCCAAAACCAGAAATGGACAAGTTAGTTCGAAAAATGACGAACTCAATTTAACTCAATTCCATTCATTAACCTGGTCGAATTGGATTGAATTGAAAAACGTTTCAAAGAGTAGTGATTGAATCGAAATCAACTCAAAAAGAATCGAAAATTATTTTTCAGAAAACAAAATTCAAATAATAAAAGTAATCAAATATCTAGTCCTTGTTTCGATTTATTTTGCAATTTCTGTCTACATCTTTCATATCTAGTTAATGAATCACATTTGTATTTACCTATATCTATCAGAGCTGAGCAACTCAATTCAATTGAGTTGCTTAGAGAATTTTTTTAAGATAACTCAATTTGAATGAAGTTGAGTTGAAAAAAATATATATAATCAATGAATTCAGTTGCATGGAATTTTTGCTATGACTGAATTGAATTGAAGTGAGTTGAAAAAAATATATATAATCAATGAATTCAGTTGAATGGAATTTTTACTATGACTGAATTGAATTGAAGTGAGTTGAAAAGAATATATATAATCAATGAATTCAGTTGAATGGAATTTTTGCTATGACTAAATTGAATTGAAGTGAGTTGAATTTTGGAAATTTTTTAGCAGACGCGAATTGAGTTGAATTAAATTCAAAAGTTTTTTTCAGGAATTGAATTGAATCAATTCACTTTTTTCTGCTGAGTTGCCTAGCTCTGCCCAAAACTGTCTAGTCTTTTGGATTTTTTGATTGTCAAGTTTAGTAACTAAAAAAGCTTGTCAGCGCAGCCCCGTTGGGGCTAAAAATGTGGAACTCACGTATGTTCGCATCAAAATATCTGATCATGTTTAAGCGCTTTGTCTTCTTTTTTTGCTCAAATTTAGTTAATTTATAGCTAGTTTTGACAATTTTTGGTTATTTATATTAAATTTGCGACAGTATATATCTATTTTTAGCGATTTGTCATTATTTTCATAAAAATTCCCGCATTATATAGCCATTTTCGTTATTTTTTTTATTAAATTTGTAGTAATTTATGGCTATTTTTAACTATTTTTGCTTATTTTTATTAAAATTCTACTAATTTATAGCTGTATTTAACCATTTTGCTTATATTTTATAGAAAATCCCGCAATTTACAGCTATTTTTAACGCTTTCTCAGTTTTTATTAACATTTTAGCAATCTGTAGCTATTTTTAATGATTTTTGCGTATTTTTATTGAGTTTGGGGGGGGGGAGGGGAACTGAGAAACTTGAGCTTAAAACTTACACTCACGATTTTCTTCGAAAATTTACATGAGTTCCACAAAATCCGGGTGATAGGGCTTAAACACTTGGTGATGGAGCTAAGCCCCATCTGCCCCCCCCCCTGGTTACGCCGCTACACTTGACGTTTAACACAAAATAAAGAAGTGAAAAATAGAAGAATGTTCATGCCTTTCTTTCGTAGAACAATTAAACAATAGTAGATGAACAAATACACAATAAATTCGAACACAATTATCTTTCCAAGATACGAATGATAATTTGTATCAAAAAAGGTCACAATGTTTCATTGTTGAGACATAACTTTTGAAATTCATATTATTCTTGAAAATCCTCAGAATTAGAAGCAAAGTGTTATTTTATTAAACAAAGTGTATTTCGTACACTCTACTTTTTGGGATAAGTGTACCGCGGCGTGTATTTCAAGAGGAGCAAGTGTTCCGTACATTTCGATTATGCTTGGTACACTTGCTATTAGAAACACTGGTAGGCATATAGGGCATAAAAGGCCTAACAGTAGTGTCGAACAAAAAATTCAGATCAAGTATCCAAGTATTCCTTCAAGTATAAAACTATTATAGTTAAACGTCTAAACTTTTCCATTATACAAATATTTCGAAAACCCATCCCGGCACCAGTACTGAGCTTCTCTCGCTCTGCACCCATCCAGGCACCCTCACTAAACTACTCTCCTTTTAAACCCTCCCAATGCACCCGCACTGACCTGCTTTCCCTCCGCACTCTCCCCGCCACCCACACCCACACCCTCAAGATTTTGTCGGATATGAAAATTCGATTTTCGAAAATTCACTCGGCTTTTTAAAGTCTTGCAATTTTCTTGAAATCGCTGAAACGTATCATATGATCAAGGTAGAACAGTCCAGCATGGAGACGGTCGGTTCCTGAATTTTCCGGAGATTTCACGGAAGCAGTATTCCGGTGAATGGATCCGCTCATCGGATTTATCCGATTCTGTTTGAAACATACGGGAACCTATTAAAACGAGCAGTCGGATCCTTGCACCGAATCTCTAGCTTTTCCCAGGGTAGTTGAGAGTGGGTGTTAGTATGGTTCGTTGAAGAACAGACACCTACATCCATACCACACTCACACCCATGGTCTGTGATGCCCTATCGATCACGTTTGTGGGAACTGGGCGCAAATTGCTACCTCTAAATACTTCAACATTCCTTTTTAGATCGTGTTTCACAGCAGCTTATCTTTTTATTATAACCATCACTGTTTCTCTTTTGATATAGCTGAAAAAGCAACTATTGCGCTTTAAATTACACAGTATCAATGGACTCACTTATGTCAATCGATCAAGAAATATACCAAGTCGGTGCGTTCGGTTTTTCAACTTCATCAACATTGACTAACGATTCTACAGTATCATCGAAGAAAAAGAGGCTACCTTCGAAGAAGTTTTCATTTATCTGTTGCGTTCCTGATACTGAACGAAGCAAGGAATTTGAAACAGCGATACGACATCTAAAACAAATCATACCATGCGCTCTCTCAACGAACGATTTTGATGAATTTGAACAATGGTCAATTTCATATCATGGTCATAAAAGATTTTCCCTCATTGTCTCGAACAAATTTGGCAAGCAGATTGTGCCCAAAATTCATGATTTACCATGGATCAGTGCTATTTATGTTTATTCCACCAATCGAAAAATTCACACCAAGTGGGCTGATGACTATCCGAAAGTACATGGCGTTATATCTGATGCAAATAATCTACTAAAAGAGCTGTCGATGGATTCGATAAAGTATAAACATCTTAAGAACTTAAATCCGCACGATCTGCTAGGAAAACTATCCTTTAGTCGTGGTGAATCGTCTCATAAAAAAGACATAGAGACAATGAGAAAAGAAAGTCAAGAAGGTATGTATATATATATATTACATAAATCATTCAGATATTACTATTTTTTTAAGATGGTCTAAGCGAATTTCAGTTTGTCGTTATCGATATAAGAAAACGCTTAGATGCACCAGCTTCTGCTATGTTACAATCTTTGAATGCGCTGACAGGAAACAGCATATCCATTATTGACGATATTTCAACTGTTAATTTTGATGAGCCACCTAGAAAGACTGCATTTCTTTTTGTTAGTAGCGAGTTTGATGCTACAATGGGAAGCGAACTAGAACATACCGAAGCAGTTTTTGTCCTGGAAGATGACATCGGTAAAGTCGATTATGAGCACCGATTTGATAATGGTGATGATCTCATCTATCAATTAGCTGACGAAATATATCGATGCTATCAACAAGAAGCCGAACAATATTTGATTTCGGGTGACGTAAAAACAGCAGAAATTAAAAGAAAAGTGTCTAATAAAATTCATGAAGAATTGGACAAAGCGTACAACTCAGCGCTTAAGAGTGATAGCACCATTACAAAATCCATCGATGCATAACAAGACTTGTCTAACTCAAATAACAAATGAGTAACACTGGAATAAAAAACACTCTGAATCATTTTTTATTTTTTAGTTCTCATTATGATTATACTAAATAAAAATGTACAGAAATAATATTTCTGATCCCCGCAAATTATATTTCGCCTTAATTTCAATGGTTTTTGAGCTTTGTATTGTTCTTTATAAATATTGAGATATTTAAATGTACATGTTGTTTTGTTTTGTAAATATGAATAATTTCTTAATCATGCTTTGTTTCAGATGCAAACTATCGACGATATTAGGTTCGAACGCAACATATATCCAGCTGCAAGCTACTGGGCTCTTCTGCTTTATCAGCAGCAGGGTGTTGCTGCAGTCATCCCATTGGCTGATGCTGATATAATGTCGTTTATTCACGTTTTTGATGATATAGTACGATGCAGAGATTATATCGATGCACATCTTCAAAAAATGATCACACTATTTGCGTATTACAGAAATATGCAGCACTGGTTTCCATTGATTAATGATATGCCATATAATCTCCAGGAAATAAGGGTTCTTTGCTATTCTAATGAATTAGAAAATTGTACTCGGTGGTTAAATCGTTATATACATAGATATAAACACTCTTATTTTGAAATAATTACATTTGAAGAACTCAATCATAGATTATTACTATTTGGTGTCGATCATTTGAAAAAGTTGCATTTAGATTTCCAGCCTGGTTCGCATCAATTAGCACGAACACATCAGGGATACAAAAGAATTTGTCAGGTATTATCAAATTATTTTTGGCATGAAGCTAATAATTGAAATGCCGAAATAACACAAAAATAGACAAGTTTAGAAGTAGAAGTTTAGCTATCTGCTATTTTTATGCTTGTGTAGAAACAATTATTTGTCATCAGGGAAAAATAAATACGAATAAAATAATAATGATTGTTTAAAATTGAAGGGTGTGGGTACGGATTTACGTGTAGGTATGGAGTGGGCTTAGATGTAGTGTGAGGGTGTGGATATGAGTAGGATACAACCACACCTACTCATACTCTGAACATGTTACTTTTATTCTCGATACTCACTAACAAAAGACGACAATGGGTCTCTCGGAACATATTGATTTGCACCTCTCATGCTCATTTATCTGATCACGATATTATTGAAAATATATTAACACACCATGGAAATGTTAAATACATTATTAATCATTTGACATCGGACTTATTTTCTTGAAAGTAATTAGCAAAAATAAAAGAAAACTTTTGAAATAACTGATTATTAGTTTTTACTTAACTTAATTTATCGTTCGAAATATATCGCAAGCATGTATATAATGCGTTCTATATGTTTACAGTAATATGAAACAGAGCGATAAATAGATAGTTGATATCTAAAGAACTTAATAAGTGCAGCACCGATGACGCATGTATGTGTCACCCACTTTCAAATTTTGCATAATTGCAATGATTACTATTCTATTGTATAACGTTGTTTGTGTTTCTTTCATTATTACTAATGGATTCTATCGTTTCTATTAATTTACTAACAATGTTTTCAATCAACAAATCGAAGACGTCATAATTACTATGTGCACGTCCTTCTTTTCTTTCTCATCGGTGACGTTAACGTTGTTTGAATCGACGAAAAACATTGATACGTCATTGCTGGGAATTCTTACATGCCATGCTACTATGACGATCAAACTGATTCATGATGCCTCTACTTATAAATGTAAAAAAGAAATGATGGAAAAGGTTTAATTCTTCTCAATTTTTGACATCGTTACTGATATCAAAGTGGAGACGATAGGAAAATTATTATCAGAGCCCCTCAAATAATTCATCATGGTAAGATATTGCCCAAGATGCTTTTATTTGGAGATATTTGATAATCTGCAAAAAAATCTATGATATTTCATTGAACTAGAGTTGTGCAGCACAACTACTATATATTGCCTTCTGTACAGTTTGTAGAAGAAAATTGTAGTTCGCTATCATTACCAAATGAATCTTGCAAAGAGCACTCTGATACAGCTGAAAATCTGATTGTGTATAAAAATAGTCGATAAAAATTCGAACGTTTCTTACTGCACATCAAAACTTCGAGATATGTTACAACATTGAAACACATATATATTGTTTACTGTTCTTTGTTGACGTATCATATTTCATTACTTTTTTTCTTGTTTTTATCATTTTAACAAGTCATTTGTGCGTTGTAAATATCTCTCTTTGTATGATGAGTAACATTTTACGAAGCTATTATATCGAAAAATACAAAGCACATATATCAATAGTCAAATTATTTTATTAACAAAAACACTAGTTTTATTCCAGTAAAGTCCTAAATAAATAAACTATATGGTGATACTGTTCTTCTTCTAGATTTTTTTATTCTCAAAAGACAAAAGAAATTGTAAGTATACACGTCATTCTAATTTTAATTATGACATCGGATTGAAAATTTTCAAAAGCCGATGAGAGCTTAATATAAATACATCATCGCTCGTCTTAATTATTATTATCAATATATTTCTGTATAAAGAGTATTTTTAGGCCAATATTCACGAAATAATAAAGATATCTGGCTGCCTTTTGTGAATGACATATGATTCAATATGAAGAAATGTTTCTCTCATTCATCACTATAAAGTCAATATGTAGAACACAAGAGATATTTGAAAATTGTATATTTGCACTACACTCCTTATCATTGAATAAAATATAAGTTCGACTTTCTGACAATCAACAAGTTACAATTAACTGCGTATTTATCTACACCGTTTTGTTATATTACAGATATAAATAGTTATCGTAAAACGGAAGACAAAAAGCATTTTTTTACATATATGTTATTTCACTATGTGGATTATTGACACAAGTGTATTTTTATATAACATAGAGGTACAAAGCGTACTACTATAAATTTACTTCTATTTTATAATAAGAAAACAGATGTGCATCCGTAAACGGCAAGAAAAGAACTGCATCTTGATTTTTTTTTCTCTATATGAAATATTTTATTGTCTAAATCAACATTTTGAAAAATTGATTGAATATTAAACAAAAATGCAGATTAATTTTAATTCCATTTCATTAAGAAATTTTTTAGCATTTTGTTTTCAAATAAATCAATATATAAAAACAGATCAAAACTATCTTCTACCAATTATAGCCAATAACAAATCTAGACTTAGTTTGATATTAGAAGATGTTTTATTTAAAGATACATTCTTACAATTAAAATTATTATCATTATCAACATCTTCGCTCTCAAGGTGATTTATTCATTGAAATTTAATATTCGATAGACCTGACAATATTCTAATACTGTTTAGAATTTGAAAATTTTGAATGGATGGTTGACAACGTTTAATGCGTCACTTTTTTCCAAGTTACCAAGCAAATAAAACTTCTGCTCTCTCGATTTAGAAATCATTTCTGCTCGTATTTCCGTTGTTTCATTTTATTGTGAAACGCAATTCTGTATATTTATCCATTTATCATGCCATTTTTTAACCTTCATTTTTACACATTGTCTTTCCGTTTATATCACAACTTCCTGCTTTAAGTTTTGTTTCTTTTTGTTAAAAGTCATAGTATTTTCTGCCTATGTACACACCCACAGCTACACCTGCCTGCTGGATGAATACTCTGTAGTGATAAGAACAGAAGAGAAATATAGTGAGAAATGGCGTCTGTTGTTAGATCTACATATTTGTGAGCATGATATATACATAGTGTATATAAAAGAGAAAAATCTAGATATATATATGACATTCATTCATATTATTTTTACCATTATGTTACACATTTGACTCTAGATTAAATGATAAATTCTCAGAGAAAAAAGTGCTTATTTTGTCATTTAATAATAATCGACATTTGATTAGAGAGATTCCCTAGTTATTTCAACGGGTATTTTCACTCGTTCTAATAGCAGTATCAATTCGATTTTATTATTTATCTTCTCTAATTTTGTAATTGCTTGACTCTTCATACATTGTATAAAAGAAAGCTATACGATACGGTAAGTTTATATTTAATATCATTTTCGTAACAAAGATTAATATATCATCACAATTAGAATCCGTGCTCGAAAATGATGTCTGAAGCATAAGTTAGTTTATAGATAAAAATCATTTTTACTAAGATAATTTTCTGTTTAGAAATTCTATGATATTCGTTCTCTTCACATTTCACGGGTGGCGGTACGGTTGAAGAGAAGACAGCCACCCACCTAAGCACACACTCTTAAGTTTATATCTTCAGTTGTGTGTGCCATGGCAGCCAATTTGATAAATCGTTTATGGCAATCGTTTCTTCAATTAAATCTTTACAAAAAGTCATCGAGTACTGATCAAACTCTTTCAAAAGAATTACTTTCTACTCGTATATATGTCTGTTTATTACTTGTATCTTTAATTGCAGTTGCAATAATTACTTCATTCATGATTCGAACTATTGAGAAAACTGAAGATACACCTTCTCGTATACGATTTTTACAATTAACAAATAGATATTCAAATACTTTGTATTGTCCATGTTCAAACCATGCTATTACATACAGTACATTTGTTAGAACTGAAGTTATTTTTCATCAAGTTTGTTCAAGTCAATTTATTCAACAAATATGGATTAATAAGTTATTTACAAATGAAAACATTTCATTTGAATCTACAGATGATTTTCGTGTTACTTTGAGTTTCTTTTGACAAATCACTGCAGGTTTATGTATTGCAAGTCGAAGAAGTTGGGATGATGCTGTAGCAAATTTTAATACATCACGTATTCTTACTCCAGCAGTATCTGTCGAAGAAATTTATTGCACAATAATGAACTGCGAAGTAATACTCATGAAACAATAAAGCGTATTTGGTATTGTTTAAGATCATTTATTCTTCTTATGTTAAGTAACGAATCAAACTATTAACATCAACAAAGAGAGTAAACAAATGATGATAACATTACCACTGTTCACTCGATAAACTAGCCTGACGGTTAGCACCAATTGTTAATTGTTCAAATTTAATCATTTTTATTAAAAGGAAGCAGATGAAAAAATTTGAATTTTATCAAATATCTTTGAAATCAACAATCAAATTTGAATTTTGTATTATTTCAGAACTTTTATTGCTTTTTATTTTATTTGAATTTCTTTGTTCATTTTACTTCTGTAATTTTTGTTGTTTATTTTCATCTAAAAGAATATTTTCACTGCTTTCTTTTGACATTTCAAATAGAATTTGCTTTCATCGATTTCATTTACATAAATTATTTTTCAATTCAATGTTTATTAATTTATTAAAGGAAACTCTTTCCAGTATTTGTTTTCTTCGACAAAATTCGTTTCAATTCAATTTTTATTATCAATTTTGCATAAAATATTTCTTTTCTCTTTTCAGTTTTGAACAATTCTCAAATTTTATTAAAGCGACAAAACAAAAACATTCAAATATAATTTGATCAGAGGCAAAATCGTCTTTTCAAATAAGTTTCATTTCAATTCAATTCAAATTAGAAAATATTTTCTGTTCTTTTCTCCTATGATTTTCAACAAAAATTAACAAAAGATGAAGGATTCAACATTTATTTATTTGAATTTTATTAAACAAAATTATTACATAAATTCAAGGATGACGAAAAAACCGGAAAGATTTTTCTTGTTTATTTTCTTATCAAAAATTTATTCGATTTTTTTCATTGATTTTCAATAATAAAATTTTATTTTTTCTTTCACTTCTCCGTTATTTATTCAAGAAATGTTTTTGTTTCATTTCTCAGAATTAAAATTTCATTTACAATATTATTTCAAATTTTTGAATTCGATGATTTCTCAGATCAGCAACGTAAAGGTTTCTTTCGTCATCAAAGGATATACCAAAAGGATGATATAATTGATTTGGTTGATTTCCTTGACCATTTCCACCAACAACAATTTCACCTTCTTCTTTACCATCACACCAACGCATTATTCGATGATTCCAACAATCTGCTACATAGATTTGACCCAAGTTATCAACAATTACTCCTCGAGGTGAAGCCAATTGATTGAGATTTCCTCCTAGACCATTTCCTCCAGCCACAATTGTTCCTTCTTTTGCATCTTTTCTCCACTTCATCACACGATTGTAGTCCTCATCTGATACATAAACAGATTGATCTTCATCAACAAAGATAAAACGAGGATAACTGATTTGATTGAGTTGATTTCCTTTTCCATTTCCGCCTGCTACTATAATTCCTTCATTGTTATATTCGCCCATTTTCCATCGTCTCACTACATTCTTAAGCCAATCAGAAACATAAAGAAATCCATTTTTATCCATTGTCAAGCCATAACAGTAAATATTTTTGATGAGAATCTGTTGGTTTTGATTCATCCATTGAATCACTCGTTCATTCCCACAATCAGCAATGATGATAGAATGATCTTGTTGATCAACAATCACATCTGTTGGATCATATAATTGATCTATTTGATCTCCGTACCCATTTCCACCTGCAATGATTTGTCCTTCCTTTGCATTATATTTCCATTCAATAATACGATGATTGTCACGATCAACAATAAAAATATTTTTCTTTTTATCAATAAAGGTTTGAGGAGGATAACTGACTTGATTTAATTCTTGTCCTTCTCCATTTCCACCAGCCACAGTGATGCCATCTTGTTTCCATTTGTTGAGTTTTGGTTCTAGAAAATAATGAAAAAAAAGATTTTGATGAAAAGAAGAGGAAAATTTGAGTTTGTTTTTTTGTTGAAGTTAAATTGTAAATGAAATCAGTGACGGAGCCGAGGTGGGAGGAGGCTGAGCGCTCTCCTCCCCTAGCAAGATTTTGATAAATATGTTTTTCTGATACAAAATCTTATTATTCTTTGTAATGGAATACTCTATGTGGCATACCTTATTGTGTGGAGATCATATGTACTTTTTGAACAAATAAAAACACATTTAATATGAGCTTCGGCTAGATTCTAGGGATTTCTCAGTTTCATATTTCACTCATTTGATAACGTAAGGTACAAACAATGCAAAGCTAAAGCAAACTTTTTTTTTCGCTTTTTCACACATGGTTGGATAGAGTTCGCCGAGCTGAGTAAGAATATATCAGTTTTTATATTTTCACTAAGGAATATCAAAAAAATTGTCAAAGAAAAGTCAGATCAATGCAGTTTTTCACAATAAATCTAAATATGTTATTTTCATAGTCCGAAGAAATGTAAAAGCTCTCTAAAATTGGAAAAAAAACATTAAAAGATGAGTTTTTTTGATATTTGTTTTTCAAGAAAACAATTCTTTCAGCACCTTGGAAAAAATATAAAAACTGACCAATTCTTACTCAACTCGACGGGCTCTATTCAGCCAAGTGTGAAAAAGTGAAAAAAAATTGCACTGGTTGCGTAAAAACATTATACTTCCTAAGATCGACTAAAAGGGTTCTGGGGGCTGAGCCCTCTCCCGTCTCCTAGCTCAACACCCTGGCTTTGCTGCTGAAATGGATGTGACTGTACATGAGAGAATATAATGCTCATATCATTCCCATGAGAAAGCGATGTTTATGAAAGATGTGTTTCTCGAGTATTAAATTAGTATTTTAGCCGACCACAATTTCTTTTGAACACGCCGATTCTATATAAATGCTACCTAAAACATGAGATTAGGTGTTCATATCAACTGGTACTTCTACGTGTATAATTATACCGATAAATCAGATTAAAACTGACCATATCATGAATAAATATAGATTAAAACCTACTGTTTCAGCTATAAAAGAGGATTTTTCTTGGATTCACTTCTGTTCTCAAATAAGCGACTATGATCAGCTAGAAATGTTTAGTATGCGAGCTTGCCTAAATTATAATGTGAGTAATTGATAGAGATGGTACTTGGAATAGACTCGTGCTGATAGCGTACTACGAGAAATAGTGATAGCTACAAATAGCACTAGACATAAGTCTTCAAAAATGACTCAATAAATATTACATTTCTTACATAATCTGGTTGATGCATGAAAGTATTTATGGATATTTCCAATTATTTTCTATGCTATATTTACAATCAATGACGTTATCTGACTTTATTCAGTCATAGTATCTATCATTATCAACCTTTTCCAATGTAATGAGGAGGTTCCTAAAGTGATCACTGAGTTCTACCATGTGAGAATCTTTTTATCGACAACATATTTGCATGATATCGTTGAAATCGATTGACATATCCAATATCTGACTATTTGTAAATGAAATTAATTCATCAAATTTTGATCCTATTTCTAGCCCCCATACAAAGTTCTCGGACGTTCTAAATCTAAATGAGGAGCACTGAACAGCTAAAATCAAAACTTTTAGATTTGGTCATTTGCGATACTCATAGTTTAGGCTATGACAAATTATCCAGCATATTACTAACCTGACGTTGTTGTTGTTGAAGTTGATATGGTAGGTGATTCTAGATTAAAAGAATGAGTTTAGAAAGAGACTAAATTATTGGATATAGCTTTATTCATAAGTTCTTTCGTCCTCCTCTTCTTCTTCTTCTTCTTCTCTAACAATCTGTCGGCCTTAACTATTAGTGCATTATAATAACATAGAAAATCGTTAGATGCCTTACATTATAATTGCAATTCTATAATCTTTACTTTAACGCTAGTCGTACCATGAGGGTGTGGATGTGGCGGACGCGGGTACTATCCTCTTCACTCTCACTCACTATTGTCACCCACACTCTCACCCACATTCTCACCCACATCAATTCTGACACCCGAGCCCGAGTCTGATGGAGCCCCGAACCCTGAGTGCCGAGCCTTGAGTGCCGAGTTCCGAGTCTGACCGAACCCCGAGAGGCTCGGGCTCGGGCCCGGTACGTCCCTAATAAGTTATGATAAACAATGAAGTTCTACTTCGATCATTTGAAATAATTTATCGTATATGAACTTCAAAATAAATAATTATCTCATTTTAACTACCTATTGTTACTTCCATTTCTTCTGTTGTTGATACTTTTTCGCTGTTTGTCTTTTTTGTTTTGACGATAACAATTGAAATTATTATGATTATAGCAAGCACAATAAGAATAACTATGATGCACATCACTTTTCTTCTTTTCAGATATTCACATCTAGAATAATAAATCTTTTTTATCATTTTCTACAATTCATAACATACATACAATTTTTTTGATTGAGCTACATTCGAAGTAACTGCTTCAGACTAAAACAATCAAAAAACAACAAATATTATATTTCATGATTTTTCTTTTTTTTCACTAAATTACATCATTATCAACTCCTATTCTGTTGTTGTTGATCATTGTTGATATCTTGTTGACAGTTTGATACTTTTATAATCTAAAATTGACAAAAAAAATTTTCAGTCATTAATAATATAATTACAAAGAAGTTAAACTGTTTATCTGAATATTTTTTCACAAAAAATCATTCGTGTTTCTCGTTAATCGTTAAAATCTATATTTCAAGTAATATCTAATATTCCTTACCGACTAATCTTCGAAGTTTTTCATTCTAATTTCAACTAGAAAATTGTTAAAATAATAGAACAAAATATTTATCATGCTCTCTCTTTCTCCTTCTCTTTCTTAAATAATCAGTTCTCTTGTGACGCAGATTATCATGTTAATGTAAAATATCATATATCAATAAAAACAATCAGCTCACTTCCTTTTTCAATGTTGATTTTCAAAAATAAACTCTTATTAGATAAAGTTGTTATTTCCTATAAATATAAAACTGTTTGAGACAACATTCAGTGTAATTATTAGTTAATAAAACATTGAAAATCAGCGCTGTTCAAAGGATATGCAACATTTGCTCACAGAGAAAAAAGTAGTGACGTTGAAATGTTTTACTATACACAACGATTCTTCTAAATGAATTGAGAATTAGACAATATTTATGGTCAGAAATGGACTTTAATTTGATTTCATCGTATGCAATAATTATTTTCAGAATAGATAAATGATTTAATTGGAAGTCGAAGTAGAATATTCAAGAAAACAAAAATAATTAATACTTGATCTTCACTTAGTTATCGTCTATTAGATATGACTAATCAATAGAGAAAACTTTACTCATGCTTTTAATTACAATCATAGCCATGTAAAATATGTAGATTCTTTGAATAATTACATTTAGATGTGACTATCGCGGTGATTGTGGATATTATATTTTTGCCTTGTTTCTTAATTTCTGATTGAACATTTATGTCGAGAAAGTGAACACAAAGGAAACAGCAGTTATATCAATCCTCAAGTCTTGTACAATACCATGAAATCCGTTCTTTTTTTGTTTTGAAATAAATATGAGAATGATAATTTGACAGATCAGTGTATTACTCGTATCCTAATGTTAATTAATCCTCACTCTCATCAATAAATCTTATACTCATCTTAATCTATTACTGAATTAATATTTTATCGACAATAATTTGATAAATAAAAATGTAGTTAAAGCTTAACTCTATAGACTTTCATATGAATGGAAAATAATAAAATACATTCTTTTCTCTTAGGAAACGTCGCATTTTCTTCACACAGTGCTGATTTTCAGTTTTGTTTTTCTACAGAAACTAACTCTTGTTTCAACTAGTTTAGTTTCACATGCTACTTCGTAGATTTCGATATTTACAACAGATTATATTTTATTCAAAATTGATCTGAAAAAAGAAAGTGATCTTGTTGTTTTTATCGACCTATGATGTTTTACATAAAAACGCTTGTATACAGTAAGTATCAGAACCATTCACTCATTATTATTTTTATTTTAAATCAAACAAATTCGTAAAAATAAAGTGAAAAATATTATTTGAGAATCCATTTCTTGATATTGAATAATTTAAAGAATGTCGAATATAGTTGATGATTTTATTAAATATAATGACAAAATAAAGAAATAAATAAAATGAGAAGAACTTCATTTAATTCCTAATGATTAATATTGAATAAAACAAGTTGTTTCTTTTTAGTTACATTCTTCAATAATTAACTTGAATGATAAAAAAACTCTTGAGGGTGTGGATGTGGGTGTGGGTGTGGGTGTGGGTGTGGGTATGGGTGTGAGTGTGGGTGTGGGCGTGAATGTAGGTGTGTGGCTGTGAGTGAGTATGGGGAAAGAGAAGATCTACACCGACACCTGCTCTCAAGATATCAATAGACAACCATCTAGGGTGTGGGTGGGTGAGTGTGAATGTGGATATATTTATCTTCTCTTAATCCACACTCACACCCGCAGTTTGTGAATAATCTATGAGATATGTTATATCTCACTTAAATAATAGTATCAATCAATGATTCAATATAGTACAGATAAGATGAGCCCGTCAATATAATAATTTTTAGTATTTTTCCTTGAAAATATCAAAATATTGAATAGATAATGTTGTGAAATAGTGAATAAGCATTTATTGAGAACGAATTACATGAAGCAGAAAACAATATTTAAAGATTAAATAATGCAATAAAATGATAATTGTATAAGAATAAAGCATTAGTGATACATTCAAAGAATTGAAAAAAAAATATATAATGAATAAAATGTTCATATTTTCGAAATTGTCCGGTCGATTGATTTTGTTTATTCTAAAAGAAACACAATTGAAATCAACAAGGAATACATTTCTATTTCATCAAAGTTTTCAGTAAATATTTCGATTTAACATACAACTTTCGTTAACGTATTAGTCCCAGTATTCGTCCATTTAAACATAGAAAAACTTTTATACTAGAATAAACTCCACTAGTTAAACCAAATTCAACGAAAAGTGAGCAAATACTCTCATATATCTTAATATCTAGCTATATTTGTTACTTGTATTACTCGATGATAAAAATCATTAAAGATATCGTACCTGTTGATGTAGAATGATTCTTTCTTTCTTGACGAACATAAATAAATGAAATAAGAATGCCTATTGTCACAAGTATAAACACTGTTAAATCGATGATCCAATAACTTGGTGATATCGAAAATAAATTTTTCCTATAAAGACAAGACATTAAGTATCAATATAGTACAGAAGAAAAAGAGACATACGATTGTGAAGGCGCAGTGGTATTGTTGATATTATTTGCGTCCATTATTTCGATAGCTGCACCTTCAATAGTAGATATTGGTTCAATCGGGCTAATTGTTTTCTTTCGACGTTGATAAATTTTGTTTATAAAATAAAAAATTTTCGGAGAGATCCATTTGAGAATGATTGTTAAACCACCATATAAACCAAGTAAATAAATTAGTGTATAGAAAGTATTCAGTTGTTGAATATATGTATATGAACAGATCATTGGTGAACATCGATTAAAATATGATGAATAATTCATTATTGTTGACCATTTTTCAATAAATAGATCGTTGATAAGATTTATCACAGTCATATTCATTAGAAATCGACTATTAGTTATGTTGAGAGGAATTGGAGTGATATTTTTATTGTATCCTGTCATTGTTTGAATAAGATTAATACATGATTGATCATAAAAACATTCGAGAGTTGATGCCAGCAATGATTCACTCGGTGTACAGCCCATTTTCAAACCTTTAATTGTTATAGGTTGTGTTGAATTTGTCTTGATAAAAGAAGCATCGGTAATACAAGTAGAATTCAATTGACATGAACAGTTATTATCATAGATCATTGCTTGAGTATATAAAGTGGTCGAAAATGTATTATAAACAGAAGCTTTGTATTGATAATTAGTTCCATACGATGAGACAATTGCATTGCCATGATTTGTAGCTCGAAGTAACGAAAGTAGACGAATGAGCTTTGAAGGAGCATTGGATTTTGCTTCATTAATCATTGAATCAATATGTAAATTAAGGTTCTCTTCTGATAATAATTGTTTAGTAATCATTAATGAAGATAAAGATTGTTGAATAGATTGATGTACTGTTTGCATGGAGAGTTGGCATAATCCATTTAAAAATTGTAAATGGGTCGAGAGAAATAGACGATAATCTTTTTGATTATAAGCAGATAAATTAGAAACTAAATTTGCTGTGATATTTAATCTCCATTCATTTGAAATCAAATCACTTGAACAAATCTATTAGAAAAATAATATAATAAAATGAAAGAAAATCTTTCTTACCTGATGAAATATTGGTTGAATTTGAACATATTCATCATATGGAGATGAAATCATTGAACATGGATATTCAAGTTCATCACTATAATCCTTCATTAGATTCTTATCGACATTTAATGATGGTGTTGAACAGGATTTGGTCAATGTTTGTGGTTGAATAATTGTATAAAGAGTTAAAATGACAAAAATGATGCTTAAAAGAGTAAGATAAAGACGAGTTGACCATTGACCAAGATGTTTCACCGTTAATCGGTCGATCTTACTTCCGAATATTCGTGCAGGAAATATATTTAAATTCAACACTTTTATAGATAAAAATGTTTTCAGTTTAGACAATAACATGTTGAATCGATCAAGTAATTTTCGACGAACTATACGTGAAAATAAGATCAATATTATATTTTATTATTAATTACCTTGTTGACGTTGATTCGTTTTTGTTCGTAATAAACTAAAAACAATTTTAACGAATTGGAATGTAATTAGTCGTAATACAATAACAAGACCACCAATCGTCGAAATCAGTGTCACTAATAATTCGGTGAAACTTGTTGCATGTTTTATTTGAGTATAAGTACAATAAGTTGGTGCACATGCTTCATAATAATCAGAAAATGACAATGATGTATTCCATTTTTCAATCATCGCCCTAGTCTCAATCCTGCTTATTCCTTGAGAAATCCTGAAAAGATCTTTCAGGATCCTGAGTCTGCAGGATCTTGGGAAGTTTTATTCAGGATCCTGTTTTAAATCCTAAGCATTCCTGTTTTCAGGATTTTTCAAAGTAAAACAGGATCCTATTCAGGATTGGTTCATGTTCTTGTTAAGATTTTTTTCTCAAACGAAAACGCATGATCCTGTTCAGGATTGGTTAAAGTTCCTGCCAAGATTTTTTTTCTCAAATGAAAATGTAAAACCTGTTCAGGATTATTTCACGTTCCTGGCAAAATTTTTTTCTCAAATGAAGATTCAAAATCCTGTTTAGGATTGATCCAATTTCTTGCCAAAATCTTTTTCTCAAATAAAAATATAAAGCCTCGTTCAGGATTGGTTCAAGTTCTTGCCAAGATTTTTTTCTCAAACGAAAACGCATGATCCTGTTCAGGATTTTTTGAAGTTCCTGCCAAGATTTTTTTCTCGAACAAAAATATAAAACCTTGTTCAGGATTCGTTAAAGTTCCTGCCAAGATTTTTTCTCAAACGAAAATACAATATCCTGTTTAGGATTGGTTCAAGTTCCTGTCAAGATTTTTTTCTCAAACGAAAATCCAGAATCCTATTCAAGGTTTTTCAGGATCCGTCTCAGATACTTTTCTGAATTGATAATAAAGAGTCTTGAAAAAATTTCGTCTAGATCTTGTGAAGGATCCTATAAAGATTATGATGATATATTTTTGAAAAGAGTCTACTAGGTTTCCACCAAGATGTGACCTAAATATTCGCATCAGAACCTTGTCGAGATCCTTGGTAGGTCAGAGTATGGTCTTAGTAGGAAAATAAAAGGATTAGTCATAAAACAAAACTTATTCATCCTGAATGATTCCTGTTAGGAACTTCTTCGGAACCTTTTGAGAATAAATATTTTCAGACTTACACGAAAATACCAATTCTAATCAGGATTGTTAAACGAAATAAAGAGGATCTGGCGGAGATCTTTGAAGGCTCCTGTTTTTTCTATTTATGCTCTTGATTTCTTGAAAGAACATAGAAATATCCTGTCAAGATTGGTTCTAAGATTTGCTATAATTCTTGCTTAACGTTTCTCATGCATGGATATTGTGCAAAGATTTACTTTAGATTTTATTCAGGATCCTAACAAAAATTACTGAAAGGATTTAATCAAGATTTCAGTAAGTTTTAGCTAAGATATGCTCTAGAACCTGCTACGCAATTTCTACCAGAAATTGTAGTTATATCGATCCAGGATCTTTTAAAAATTAAGATAAGATATCTCAAAATATTAAAGAAGAAAATCTTGCTAAGCTTTGATCAAGATCCTGCTGAGAACTCGTTAAGAACAAACTTTGCGAATTTTGAGGATGTAAAATACGTATGATTAGGATCTCGATGAGAAAATACAAGGATCTAGATAGAGTTTTTCCAGGTCCCTATATCGAATGTATTCAAATTTTAGTTTTCAAGATCCTAGCAAGATTTTTAATCAGTTATATTGAGGATCCTGACAAGAATTTGTGGGACAACTTCCCCACGTCTTTCTATTTAATTTTTACTCAATCTCACTTCAGATTTTATAAACTCATGTATTCTAGTAAACTCTTAAAATTAATTATGTATAATAAACAGGTAAAGCAATTTAATTTATTTTATTCTGAATTTAGTGGTTAATAAAAAATAAAAAAAATTAATAATTCATTTATAAAAATTTTAATTCTGCATATGAAAAAAATAAGTAGGACAATATAAATTAAGCATAATTTGGATTTACTAATTAATTTAAAAAAAATAATTTATTAAATTTTGAATTCAAAAACTAATGTAAAAATAAGTTTCATACATTTGGAATTAATTTACTAATAAATAAATAATAATTAAAATTATTAAATTTTAAATTGGAAAAAAAGAAAAAAGTAATAAAAAAGAAAAGAAACATAAAAATAACTTATTACATCACTTCTAAACGAGAACACAGTCCAGCTGGGTTAGCTGTTCAGTTCATGAACTGAAGGTCTAGAGTTCGATTCTCTATGTGTTCACATTTAATTCGTTCTGTTTAGAAAATCCTGCGACGATCCTGACACAATCCTGCCAAGATACTGGTAAGTTCTGAACTTGTAAGTATATGCAAACAGAGTTTATGTGACTAGTCCTAGGAGATTCGTTCGTGTAAGTTATACAGAAACCTGATGAAATTAGAAAGTATCCTGAACGAAACCTGAAATATATTTTTAAAAAATAGGTGCATAAATCCTGAAAGGATCCTGTATAAAACTTGATACTAATATGAGAGGATCCTAGAAAAATCTTATTTGGAATCCTGTCAAGATCCTGAGATTTCGTGGCTACACGTTTCTTTCAGGATTTAGCGGTTCCCTATCTCGTTCCTAGATTAAAACACAATGGTAATCTTGCTAGGATCCTTAGAAAATCTTGTTCTGAATCCTGTCAAGATCCTGAAATTCCATGGCTACACACTTCTTTCAGGATTTAGTCGTTTCCTCAGGAAAAAAGTACGAATCCTTGCAGGATCTTTATAGGATCTGTCACGGATCTTGCACGGAAACATCAAAGATATTCCCTAGGGTCATTTCTTCAACTATCGATGAAACCGAAGTATTTGGAGGAAAACGAGTTGATGATTGGTTATAGATTAATGCATGTGCATATAAATTTGGATTGTTTGCAGACGCCGGATATGTTTTGTTTATATAATAGAAAAGTTGATTCATACAATCGGAATTTGTATAGAAACATTGAAGGGTTGATAGAAGGAGTAAATCAATAGTATAGCATCCACCAACCAATCCAGGTGCCACATAATTACTGGCGACATATGCTGGACGAGAACCAGGCAATCCTATAATACTAGTTATATGATCAATTGCGAAAGTGATTGGTCCTTGACATTTAGGATCAACAGCACATTGACATATTGGGCTGTTCGAAGCCGAAATAGTATTGAAACGAAATTTAAACTAAACAAACAGAAAAGAATTAAAATTCTATTAAACAAGATTTGGATATAGTCTTAAACTTATTCTTAATTTAAATTATATTGACTAAAAGAAATTCAAACATTTCTGCTAAGAATCTTCCTAACTCTAGCTGTGAATATATGTATACTGAAAAGCATTGTTTTATTCTTCGAGTGCATAATTAAAGAAGAAAAAGAAATGTGAGATTCTTTGAATATATACATACTTGTAGTGCTTGTGGATTATTAGTACCGGCTGTAGTATTTATGTAATTTAGTACGACTTGGGAATTCGGTGATACTATTATTGGCTGATCAGCCTGAATGAAAAGACGTGTTATAATATTGAAAAGGTTAAAATTGATCACAATTGATTCGGTCAGTTGCTTGACAATTGCATTTACTTGAATGTTGAAGTCGGTTTCGATAGGCACATAGGAAGTAACAAAAGTGCGTGCGAAAAAATCATGAATATTATCAGCAGCTGTCAAATTAGCTTGTTGACAAATACTGGACAGTAATCTAAAGTATTGAGCCGCTTTACTAATCCATGTACCAAACGTCACATCCGCTGGAGCACTATTCGATAGTAGTGAAATCCATGTGTTATGGTTAGGCCGAATGCCTTTCGAATGCCTTTATTCAAAATATCTAATTCATATATATGGAGAGAGAAATAGAGAGATAGAAATAGAGAGAGATAGAGAGAGGAAAACAAAAGAATAACACGACAGAAATATGTTGATGTATATTTTATCTAGTGACATCTTGTCACTGTAACATTCTCCCCTACAAAAAAAAATATGACAATCAAAGAACACTAGAAAATAATGTTTTTTTCTTTTTTTTTTTTTTCGTCATTTGATTGTTCCGGATCAACGTGTATGATGATGATAACGATCATGACGATCATGACGATGATAATGTTGATCATGATTATATTCACCACGACGACGAGACAATTTTTCTTTTGTATGTTTGAATTGTTCATAGTGTTCACGTGTAAATAAGGTATAAATTTTTCGTTCACTTGATTTTAATTCAAATGAGTTTTTAATTCCTATATATAATTTTCGTCGACCAGTAACAGGTGATGGTAGTGAAAAGTTTACAGCTGTAACTGGAATACGAAGTTGACGGAGTATATCTTTTATATTCCGAACGGTGAATCTTGGATCAAAATTGTTGCGTATAATTTCGTGACGATAATATTTTCGTCGTTGACGAAGGGTGCAACCACGATTGTGAATTTTTCGTTTTGCGTCTTCCGTAATTGATGGACGGCGATGACGACGTCGTTCAGATTCAAGTTCAGGTTCAACTGGTGGTGTTCGTTGATCATCTTCTTCACCTAGTTCATCATTATTTGTATTCAACATTTGATTATCTGGAGATGGTGATAATTCCATTGGTTCATCATTATTTGTATTCAACATTTGATTATCGTGAGATGTTGATAACTCCATAGGTTCATCATTACTTGTATTATCAGTTGTTGTAGTAAGTTGATGTTGTTCCAGTAGTTCGTGTTCATATTGTTGATCTATGTCAAATAATAATAATTCTAGTCCATCATCTAATTCTTCTGGAACAAGTGGTGATGACTGTTGTTGATTAATTAAATCCATAGAAACAAGTAATTGAAACATCGCATCACAGTCATCAGCGGCATATCGAGTGATCATTTGACGATATTCTACTTGATTTGAATTTAATTGAACTAAATTTGGATCAAGTCCAATATCAAACGGCGAACGTGTTAGCCGTTTGTCTAACCATTTATGTAATTGATGACCGACGGCATCTTGGATGCTCCATGGATTATTTGCTTGAATTCCAAGGCATTGTTCACAGATGCATTTGGATATTGTTGAATCATGTGCGTGGTTTTTGCACCAGTATAATTTAAAATCATTTTGAAGATTTTTATACATACATCGATGAATTTGTTCGGAGGTGAATAAACCAAATTGAGTGAAATTTTCCAATTCTTCAATTGGACCCCATACATAAATTTGATTGTTTGATTGAAATAATGATTCAAATACAGTTTTAATTAATGCAAATGTTGAAGTATGTGGTTTTGGTAAATGATGAATTTCAATAATTAAGATATATGTGTTAAGTTCACGTGTAATTATTTGAAACTGAATAAGAGCTGATTTATTTTCTTTTTTAAATACACAGACTGATTCAGTATCAAGAACGAATAATGATGATGAGTTTATGATGTTAATTAATTTATTTAATATTTTTTCTGATGTTTTAAAATTCAGAAAAATTAATTCATATGGAGAAGATTGAAACGGTGGATATGTCGAAGCATACTGATGTTCAATAAGCTTCTTTCGATATAGTTGACGTATATTTTTTCGATTTTTTCCCGTAATAGATTGCGGAATATTATTATATTTCCATAAAGTGTCTTCGTATTCTGTTTGCGACAACATTTCTAAAACAAAATATAAAATAATAGTTATTGTTTTTTTTCAGAAATGAATCTTAAAATAATTTATCCGATTCTCATAGAAAATAGGAATCTACTATCCATATTTCATTATTCCAATGTACGTATGTCAATAAAAATGAATCTGAAACATGTTCTACATTCGATTCTCAGTGCCTAGGTAAGAATCTACAATAAACACATTCGATTAGATTTCGTATAACAAGAATTCAACGATTAATAAATGTGCCATATTGATAGTAATAGCCCTTCACTACCAGTGAGTGGGGGAAAATCACACTCTCCAACTATGCCATGCTAGATTACGTCGCATATGATACATCTAAAAATAATTAATAAGTCTGTATGGGTTGACATATACGGATCTCTTTATAAGAGGTCCTAAATTGTTAAATGCGTTGGAATATTGGAAGTAATACGTCTGTTGTTACTTGACGATGTAATGTTGGTTTTCGGATATGCTGTACGATAAATGTTTTAGGTGTAAGTTGCTTAATAATTTTGAATGGTCCTTCGTAACGAATATCAAATTTATGGCGCATATTAAGTACTCTAACTAGTACTAAATCACCAGTATTGTACGATGGGTTCGAGCGATTTGTATCATATCGTTGTTTTGATCGTTCTTGACTTGCAGTAATATTTTGTTTAGCTTTTTCACTTAAAGATGATAAATATTTCGTCAGTTTGTTTATCTGTTCAGGATCATGAGATATTATAACGTTGGGATCTTGATAATCAAATGGTAATACAGGTGTTCGACCATACATCATTTCAAATGGTACTTGTTTGGTTGATGAATGAATTGATGCATTGTAATTGAATGTGACGAATGGTAATTGATCATCCCAATCTGTTTTTCGTAAATTTGAAAGAGCTGCAATTTTTGCATCCATAGTTGAGTTGTATCTTTCTACTTGACCATTCGTTTGCGGATGATAAGGTGTTGAGTATAGGTGCGTTGCTCCAATTTGTTTAAGTAATTCATTCGTTACTGACGAGGTAAAATGTGTTCCATTATCAGTTAATATGCAATGAGGTGTACCAAATTTCGTAATAATATCTTCTTTCAGGAATCTAACAACCGTTTGAGCACTATTATCACGTACAGATTTAGTAACAACAAATTTTGATAAAATATCGGTAAGGGATATGATATATTTATTTCCACGTCGTGATGTTGGTGTAATTGGTCCATGAAAATCCATCGATACTAATTGCCATACACCTTCTGGAGGTTTAATTGGTTGTAATTTACCAGGTGTTTTTTGTCGACGAGGATTGTATTGAGCACAAAGAATACATGATTTAATATAATTGTCGATATCTTTATACATTGAGGGCCAAAAATAACGTTGTTTAATCTTGTGTATCGTTTTATCTCTTCCAAAATGAGCACCATTTGCTGCAGTATCATGATATATTCTTAATATTGTTCGTCGAAGTTCACCATGTGGTACATAAGGGACTGGAGGATTTGATCGGTGCATAAGAAGATCATTTGAAATAAAATATTTTTTATATTTCTTAATGTTGTTAATTATATTTTGTGTATATTCATCATGTTGTTGAGTTTGCAGTAGTTGTTCCATTGAAAATGGAGTTATCCGATTCTCTTCTTGAAATAATAGAGAATCTTCTATAGGATTCGTTGTATTGATGGACGTGTCAGTTGTTGTTTGACGTAATTTGACGGAACGTGTTTGAACAGCACTTACAACATGATAACATCTGTTATATAATTCATGATCAGTTTGAGTGGATTGTGAAGCAGTGAAAAATGTTTCATCAGGATCTTCTGTTGCATCTTCAACTGGAGATCTTGATAAATAATCAGGCATTGAGTTCGTTAAGCCAGGAATGTGTTTCACCTTGAAATCATATTCTAATATTTTTAATCTCCATCGTTCACATCGTTTATTTATTTGAGATTTTTGATTTAATTGTGTTAATGCTTTATGATCAGTTTCCCATGTAAAGTTTATTCCACTTAAGTAATTATGCCATTTGTCTAATGCACAAATAAAAGCATAACATTCTTGTTCCATTGGAGACCATTTGCGTTGTGCTTGAGTAAATTTCTTAGATAAATATGCAATAGGTCTATCGCCTTCAGGATAAATTTGTAATAATACTGCTCCGATTCCCTCATCAGAAGCATCCGTTTGGACTTTAAAAGGGAATCTGTTGTTGGGAAGTCGTAGAACTAGATCAGTTGTAAGGAATCGTTTCAGTTCTTCGAATGCTTTAATTTCATCAGCAGCTAATGTAATCTTTGTTTTTTGTCCTTTCTTTTGTTGTGTTCTTGTAGTTGGCACAAATTTTCGAAGTGGTTCAGCAATCTGTGAAAAATTTGGAATAAATTTCCTATAATATTCTGCTGCTTTGACGAATTTACATGCTTCATCTGCAGTTTGAGGTACTTGTGTATTTAATAAACCATTTACATTGTGAGGACTTGGACGAATTTCACCATTTGTAATTTGATGTCCGAGATATTCTGTTCGAGTTCGCGCTATTTCGCATTTTTCTGGATTAAGACGGAATCGAGTATCTTTCAGTAATTGACATATTTCTTTAAGATGAGAAAGATGCTCTTCAAATGTTTTCGAGTATATAATCACATCGTCGATGTATGCTAATGCGTATTTCCATCTTGTACGTCCTAACACATGATTAATTACTCGTTGAAATGTTGCGGGACCATTAGTAACACCTTGTGGAAGAACAGTAAATTGGTAGTGGTTATCGCGGGTCGAGAATGCCGTTTTCGGCCGGTCCTCTTTAGATAGAGGCACCTGAAAGTATCCAGACTTGAAATCGAATTTTGTGTAGTACATTGCATCAGATAATTGGTCGAAGATTTCATCAATTCGAGGAAGTGGAAATGCATCTTTTATTGTTATGGCATTTAATCGACGATAATCAATACAGAACCGCATTGTTTTATCTTTTTTCTTCACGAGAACAATAGGTGATGACCACGGAGATGTTGATTCTTCTATTTGACCACGTTCTAATAACTTCTGCGTTTCTTGAACTTTAATTTCTTGATCTTTGTTAGATGCAGGATATTGTTTTGAGTAAACAGGTGGATGGTCACCAGTTTTGATAGCTGATTGTGAAGGTATATTGATAATTGATGGTGTTGGGTCAAACAATATTTTGTTTCGCCATAAAATATCTTGAATTGCTAGACGATGATTTGAGTTTTCGATGTGTGCTGTCGCTTCGAAAATCTGTTTTCGAATCTGATCCGAATAGCATTCTGCTCGTAGATGTTTCTGTAGATCATTTCCCGATAAGAAGTACTCTTGACATTGATCACAACAATTATTTCGTATTGTTTGATCCGAGTTATCTTTATTATATGAGATAGCTCCGTTTCCAGAATTTTTTGTATTCCGAGATGATTGATGATCTGTTGGTGGTTCTAGTTCTGAATTGTGAATTGTTGTACATATGGAAAATGTTGTATCATATGATATAGTTCCGATGCGCGTATTTTTTGAAAGTGTTTGTTGACGATTTTGAGCATTAATCAGTAAAACTTTTGTTTGATGATTATTAACATTTAATAACGTGTGTGGTATGAAAATAAATTTTGATATATAACGATTATCGGGTTCGAACATTAAACTATTAGCATTAGTAACTTGAGAGGTGATGTCAACCAATGTTTGTGAATATGGAGGAAGAGTGATTTGATTGACCAGCTGAACAGGATAATTAATGGAGAGTGGTTCGGTATATGGAATTCGAGTTAATTGACCATGTTGATCAGGAATAGTTAGATGTTTCTGGTCGCCAAAAAGATGGACATGATTTGTATTAATCCAATCATTGCCTAGTAAAATTGGTGTAATTAGATTCGTTGCTACATAAGCAATGCCACGAGTTTCAATATGTTTAACTTTAATATTCAATTCAATTTGTCCGATGATATTCAACGGTGTCGCATTTGCTGTCTGACATAGATGTTGTTTATTGAGAAATCTATTGTGTTGGATTGTTTTGAGAAAATCGAGACGAATAAGTGAGATGGCGGAACCAGTATCAACGATGGATTCAATTGGTTGATCATTAACACGAATTTTGATGTAAACGGGAGAAGATGTTGTTGTTGTTGATGGCTTGAAAATTTTACTGGGAGCACCGCCATCCTGTGACCCAGTTATTGAAAATTCGGAGGCATTGGACAGTCACGGACAAAGTGACTTTCTCCACAGTTGAAACAACCGGTTGATTTTTTATAAAAACAATCGATTGTTCGATGATTCGTTCGACCACACACTTTGCATTGATTCAATTGTCGGTATGGAGTGGATTGATTGTTGGAAGACTTGTTGTTGAATGTACGTTGGTGATTTTGATTTCCAGGTGCTTTTATTGTTTTATCTCGTGTTTGATGAACCGAGTTCCGTTGAGTAACGGAGCTCCGATTGGAAAATGAACGTGGATTCCGATCATCCTTATTTGTTGGATGATACTGATGATTCAATCGTTGAATTGCAGCCGTTAATGGTTGAAATGTTGGTTGATTGAATTGTATTTGTTGTGATTCGAGTGATAGGTGACAAGATTTTTCAAATGTTTCATGTATGTCTTGTTCGATTTTAGCATATTTAATAAATTCGGTTAATGATGTTAGAGTTGATTGCCGTCGTAAAAGTTCTTTCCGAAGATCAGGTCGTAATCCACTCATCAAATATTGTATTATTATCAGGTCTGACATCGTTGGATCAATTTCTCGACAAACGGTCGTAACATCGTCAATGTATGATATGATGGATTCATCCGGAGATTGTTTTCTTCCTTTCAGTTTATCGAATTTCTCTTGAATCATTGTTGTTGAAAAATATCGATTTCGAAATGCGGATTCGAAATCTGACCATTTCCTGAAAGCAGTTTCATTATTGTCAAACCATATGCCAGCTGATTTTACTAATTTACCACGTACAATTTCGAGAATCTCTTGATTTTCCGATTCATCGGTTGCTTTCGTTATGCTTTTAATAGTTTTTAAAAATCGTTCGACATCCTCGGATGGATGTCCTGAGAAATTTGGCAAATCATCTAATCGAGCTTTCCGTGACTTTGCTAGTAATGTTTGATCAGTCATTTTATTTGTTTTAAGTTGAGGTATTGACCTTGTATTTAATCTCCTATTTGATAGTGAACGAGATTGTAAACGTAAAGATGAACGTGGTTTTGTGCGTGATAATGAGCGCGTGAATGATCGTGTTGATTGATGTGTAATAATACTATGAAGTAATAATTCTTCTTTAGTTTTCTTTATCAGTGATCGTGTTCCGAACGCCGTGATCGATTTATTTTGAATTACAATTTGTCAATGTAGTAATATATATATATATATATATATATGTTTACGAAATTCTTTATTTAGAATCTCTTTGATTACGATATTCTTTATGTAGAATATCTTTCTTCGTATTTAATTCGTACGATTTTCCTTTTCTTTTCTTTTTTTTTTTTTTATATATATATATATATATATGTATGTATATATATATGTGTACGCAATGACCCTTCTTACTTTTAGATTCGAAAGATGTCCTTTACAACTATATTTTAGTTAAGAGAAGACATTTTAGCCCTTTTGTTTTTTCGTTACCGTTTAATTAAATAATTTAAATGTTTAAATTAACCAGGTCTCCTTCTAGAGGCCTTTATAAATTATCCGATCTCCTTATAAGAGATCTTAATTCGATCCGTTGATGTATGAGCCGGGTCTCTTTCAAAAGAGGCCTCTAAAATTTGATGTAAATTTAATTTTAAATTAAATTAATTTTGTGGTGTTGGTCGTGGTGAAAATTTAGCCAGGGTCGCCAATTGTTATGGTTAGGCCGAATGCCTTTCGAATGCCTTTATTCAAAATATCTAATTCATATATATGGAGAGAGAAATAGAGAGATAGAAATAGAGAGAGATAGAGAGAGGAAAACAAAAGAATAACACGACAGAAATATGTTGATGTATATTTTATCTAGTGACATCTTGTCACTGTAACACCATGATTCGCTAATTAAATCACTTGAGCATACTTGATGAAAAATGGGAGATAATGAAACAAATGTCTTATAAGGCATTGTAGTATTTGCACAAGGGCATGTAAGTGTATCTGGATATAGGCTTTGTAATTGTTTGTATTTAGTTAATGATGGATTTTGTTCAATGTTTGCAACTGTTTGACTCATGAGTGAAGTAAATCGAAGAAGACAAAGAACTGAACCTAGAATGAAGAAAAAATACTTAGATCTTGATAATACTACATCAATGCAAGGAGGGAAAAGCTGGATAAAATAATGTCGATCTCATAATCAAAATCATCATTGTTTCGTCTTTGATTCTAACATCATTTCACTAAATAGATCGCACAGATTGAAAATAAAGATACGTACCTGCCAGTAATAAGAGAAAACAATATGTGCTGATACGTTGTTGTTTGATATCATCCACTGTTCTATTCGCAGCCGATTTGAATATGTTCAGTTGTTTCATCCACCGAGTTAAGTTACGAATAGATGATAAATAATACTCTAGAATTTCAAAAATACGTATCATTTTATAGATCAACATTATTTTTATTATCAACAAAACATACTACAGTTAAAAGTGATTTTTATTGAACGATATCGAATTTTCCACATAATCCTGACCAGCAAAGGTACAATTAACCGAAGAATAGCAGTCAAACCACCATACAGACTGATTAAAAGAGGCAAGATCGATGATAAATTGGTAGAATATGTACGCACTAAAGGAGCACATTGATTAAAATAGTTTATGTAGCTGATTTTAGTTGACCATTGTTCAATAAACAAATTTAAGACAAGATCGTTTACAGAAATATTTCGTCGACTAGAAGATAGGTGTAGATCAATCAATTTGACTTTTGACTAGAAGAAAAGAAATGCTTAAATATTTATCAAATTAAGTATATTATACTTGATTAAGAGCTGGAAAATAATTGAATAAAATTTCTAGACATTGAACATTGTACAAACAATCAAGTGTACTCGCAAGAACAGCATCCAGAGGAAAACATCCTCCAAAGAATCCGTCGACGCTTGCAGAAACGATTGAATTAACATTATTGACATCATAGTAAACAGGCCAATATACATGATCAACTACGTCCGTATCTAACGGTTGAGCATAGAAAACAGCTGGAGTTATCATGTTCGTTTCAGTGCAACTTAAAGCGCTTGATCCGAGACTATAAGTATTGTTTGGGTTCACTTGATACGTAGAAGAGATCGATGCTGCATAAGAGCTTATTTGAACAACTGCATTCGTCCCAAACGCAGACACGAGAGTATTGGAACGATACATCATTTGAACAAGTTGTAAAAATGAAGTAATTTGAGCATGTGCTGTTGCTTGAACAAGTTCAACCATGGCTTCTACTTGCAATTGAATATCTTCTTCTTCGAGAAGTTCAACTGTAACAATTTGTTTATTTTGAATATCTAATAATGCTTTTGAAACTATATCGTTCGAGATTGAACAAAGAGCAGCTAACAATTCGAACTAGAAACAGAACAATAGATTTCATATAATTTTCTTACAACATTCAATAGTTTGAAATTAATAATGATTCATCTAAGCAATACATTTTTACTGATCTGGGTATGGGTACAGGTATGATATCATATTTATATCGCATTTGCATCCACACCCACCTACATGAATACTATAAATATCTCTTTATTTTATTGTAATAATTTGCTTTCATCAATTTCTTTCTATAAATATAAATAGAAGATATGTTTTCATCTTACCTGAGAAAATGCCGTTGTCCGAAAATCAACCGCTAGGTATGCATTGGCTGCCGGTAGATAAAATCCTTCAATCCATTCTCTACTAACAAAAACACTCGAACATACAGGATGAAATAAGACATTATTGGTAACGAAGGTACTATAAGGTATGGTAATAGTTGAACATGGATATGAGAGTGTTCCATCATATTCATGATGAAGTTGGTCATAGAGTAATGGGGTTAGATTTGAAATGGTAATGATACGACTTGTTGGACTTAACAGTGCGATGAAGAACAACACATAAAGAGAAACTAGAAATAAAAAGATGACAGAATAAAAAGCATTACACTATTATTCAGGTGATACTATATAAGCTTCTATTTTATTCACTCACTGATGAAAAGGAAAACGTACAGCCATGTAGAATGTTTCTGTTGCTTGACACGTATTGCTGGATCTATTGGCTGATCATTGTCATTCTCATAATGATCTTCGTCTGGTATAAACAGATTGTAATTATGTATATAATCATGAAACCATGAAATAAAATTTCTGATTCTCATTCTTAATACAAGCCTATTATCTAAAAATCGAAACAAAATGTCGATGTAAGAAAAGATACTTATAAAAAATGAAATGAACTATCAAACATCACAAAGAATATTTTTGATTACATTGTATTTTACTGAAAAATTTAATTGAAAAAAGTTTTTATAGAGATAAATATCCTTTTCTAATGGATGCTAAGTCATGCACAATGTGATGATTATCATTGAATTTAATTATGTCTGAATATATTATATTTGTTCATTTGATTTAGGAAGGAAATTGTTTTATTTCATCAAATAGATTTTATTTTTATTTTAATAGTTCGCTTGAATGCTTCTGTTATAATAATATCCGTCATTTACTTTCGAGAATATTTCTAATTACTAAGAAAATGTATAGATCTGACTGAGAGACAAATCTTTGAGAAGAAATTACATTTCAAGTTTAGCATGTATAATAGAACACAAACCATTTAGAATCACAACAAAAATCATGTGTGGATATATCAATGTCGAGTTTGTAGCTCAAGATTCAAATAGTTACTTTAAGTTAGATATAATTGATAGATAATATACAAAAAAATCAATATTCATTCGATTTCTTGATATAAATATATTATCCTTTATAATAATATCTACTTACCTTATTATCAATACGAGAGTTTTATAGCGAAAAATATTAAGACACAATATCATTGAAGAAAAAAAATCCTTCTCAACTTCTCGTTTCTTGAAAAATAAACATTTAAATGAGCATTAGTAGATATTCTAGAAAAACGTAGATAGAATAAATAATAGAATACAGACAGAGAGAGAGACATAAGAACACTGGAAAGAAAATCTACGAAAAAATATAGAAAAAATTATTTTAACAAGTAATTAGAACAATACGAGAGAAAAAATATATTTAATAAGTTTCGTAATGAAGCAGAAAAAAGCATGACAAAAAATAAAAGTACAATAGAATATTTCAATAGGCAGTAGAAAAATTGATTATATTCATAAAAAGAATGTTTATGGAAGATATACCGAGTGGCTCAAAATCATGTATGAAACAATTAGGTGTTCGTACTGCCTTAGAAGAAAATTATAAACGAAACAATTTTTAAAAATTTCATATATATATATGGTTCGCTATACAGGTTTTTAATCTCATCACGATGGTTAAAGTCGAATGTTATATTGTTCTATATAGGTAGCAGATAGTTCTACATAATAGTCTTTGTTGTTTTTTGATTGTGCTGTTTATTTGAAAGATGTATTCAAGCGTTTAAAAACTGCAGTTTCATAAAAATAATAAACTACGAGAGAAAACAATTAACGACGCTATCGTATGTCACAATATAATCGAGCAAAAATGAAGCGAATGACAAAAAAAGAGAAGAACGAGGGAAGAAACAAATAAAAAAGACTAGGGTCTGGGTGAGGATCGATGTGGGTGTAAGTGTTGGTATATAATGTGTCTCCCATCCACACCCCTTTTTTGCCTTCACTTGACGGTTGGAATGATATAAGCAAGTTGGAAAAATGTTTTAAAACAAAAGACTAGATAGGTTTGCCAGAATGACGTGTCATTGGTTATATATGGTGAAACTTGGCCTACCGAATCAGTTCTAGTGAGAAAGATATGAACGATAAAATATTCTTAAATCTATACAGTTTTACTCACATTTTCATGCTGAATCTGAATGAATTGGTTTCAAACACTTATCACTGTTATAAATGAGCTAAATTTCGAAACTTCATATTAAAATGATTAACAGATCATGTTTATAGGCTATTTTTCAAAAATTTTCAGCTAGAATGCGACCAAAAAATGTTTTAATGGTGATATTCGTAACCAGCTCGACGAGCTCTATTTAACCATGTAAAAATATAAAGAAAAAAAAATTGTTTACCTTTTGACCTGGGAGCACCTTATATTAATAAAGAAATACATATAACATAATAAGATGGTTATGCCTATCTACGTGTAGATCCTATTTTTTGTTGTCTCTCTGATATTGATTCATTATTCTATTTCAATCAGTTTTTTCCTTAATATCAAGTTTTTTGAACATTTATAAAATAGACGATTGATTTATGCGAGTACTTTTCTATCAATACGCATATATTAGACAAGAAGTAAAAAGTCGATTTTAATGGATTTTTACTTATTAACTTGTAAGAGTTTAGGTGTTAGTTGATTAATGAGCTGAAATAATATTTCGAATTAATTTTATTTGAAATTATAAAATACAACATTTCAGATGAGATTCATTGAAGTTGAGTCAAATTCTTATTGCATTTTGAGGATGATTGAATGCGAGTGTGATTGCCAGTTGAGCATGATACTCTCACATCTACAGTCACAACTCATCATCAAGATGTTTTATCATGATCAACGCAGTACCTCCTGTGTCTAGATTTTTGTAGCCAAAGTTTTCCTTTCTAATTATCCTATATCCTAAAAAACTGAGTATAAAAAATAGAAAATAAGATATTTGTCCGATTTTTGATTGGCGCTAAATGAATAAATAAGAAGAGTGTGGGTTGTGCATAAATTCGCACCCTCACCCTCAAGATTCGACTGACATTTCATTATATATGCCATACATAATCTTTTCATCCAAATATATTTAACACTCTCAAGAACAATAAAGCATCCTCCACACAAACAAAAATAGTCAAACAAACGAGAGTCACTCGATGCTAGAAAAACACTTCTTTGATCGACATCAAAATAGAATCGATCTCATGTCACTTTGTAGCAAATTACCGAAAATTTGTTTCATTTTATCCTTGATGCTGATGTATCTACGGTATCTAAGATCGATTGTGGTGAGTGTCTGTGTCAAATTATCATCTTAGATATGTGATAGATGGGTAAAGCAATTATCTTACTGTATTCCTTTTTAACGCAGTAGCTAGATGTTGCATCCCTTCGACACCAATGTTGTGGAAAAAAAGAATGAGTGTAGTGAGTGTCTATGTCGAATAATCATGATGTATGTGATAGAAAGATAAAGAAATTATCTTACTGTATTCGTTTGTATGGCATCAGCTAGATATTGTGCCCCTTTATCACCGAACTCATTGTTAGAAAGGTCGAGTGCGATGAGTGTCTGTGTCAAATGATTATGTTAGATACGTGGTAGATCAGTAAAGCAATTGTGTTACCGTATTCCTTTTTAACGCAGTAGCTAGATGTTGTACCCCTTCATCCTGGATCTCGTTATTTGAAAGAATGAGTGTGATGAGTGTCTATGGCAAATGATCGTTTTAAATATGGCTGGATAGGTAAAGAAATTGTCTTACTGCATTCGTTTGTAATCCAGTAGCTAGATATTGTGCCCCTTCATCACCGATGCAGTTGGCATTGAGGTCGAGTGTGGTGAGTTGCTTTGTCAAACGATCACTTTATATATCGGTGAACAAATAAAGAAACTGTCTTACTGTATTCGTTGTTAAAGCATCAGCTAGATGTTGCATCCCTTCGGCACCAATGTTGTTGAAAGAAAGAGTGAGTGTCGTGAGTGTCTATATCAAATGATCATGTACGACATGTGACAGATCAGTAAAGCAATTGTATTACTATATTCTTTTGTAAAGCAGCAGCTAGATGTTGCACCCCTTTATTACGGATACTGTTGTGCGAAAGATCGAGTGTGGTAAGTGTCTACGCCAAATGATCATTTTAGGTCTGGATGGACTAGTAAATAAGTTTTCTTACTGTATTCTTTTGTAAGGCATCAGCTAGATGTTTTGCCTGTTCAGGAAGCATGCTGTTGCGCGGAAGATTGAGTGAAATGATTGTCTGTGTCAAATAATGATGTTAGATATTGGATATCTGAATGAATAAGTTGTCTTACTGTATTCATTTGTAGGATAATAAATAAACGTGGTAGTAGCCGCTCGCGGAACGCGCAACGATTCAAATCCAGAGTGGTGCATGTCTGCGTGAAATAAAATGTGAAAAGGAAACCGTTGAACTAGTCACGTAGTTTTGGATGTAATTTATCTTCGTATGATACTATGATAAATTAACAAGGCGTTCTACTCGATGTTTTCTGTTCTGAATTTTAAGCTGTTCAAAATGAAACTTGTACAGACGTCTCATCATACTATAGGCGTGTAACATGAGAAAACTATTTTGAGAACGGCTAAGCGTATCAAGTTGTGCTTTCGTTTATAAGGGTGTCTCGATGTGCTCTTTCTTTTGTATAACAGACATTTTCGCCTAAAACGCTTGGAAGTAGATTCTCTAGAAAACTATGGCTTCGAGACCAATGGTCACGAAAGTTGTTTTTCTCTCTATTTTCTCTAACAATGGAGGTATTTTGTATTGTAAGTTTAAAATATTAGCGATCGTTCGCTTGTATGTACGAAGTTGTGGCTATTTTAACCTTGCTAGCTTGGTGATGCAAGCTTTCCTTTGACGCAAAAATATCTAGTCTTTTCAACTTACAATACAAACACCTCCATTGTTAAAGAAATTAGAGGGAAATATGGCATTTATCCTTCACCAAACTTGATGTAGTTCGGACAGACTACGTCGTAGAGAGCTCGGCGACATCTCATTCTGTAGAGAATTGGTTACTCTGTCATCAAAGAAGACCTGCTTCCGATTGTTTTGGATCAAAGTGCCTGCTCAGCAAAAGAAAGTGCAGGTCGCGAAATCGTTATAAATGAAATGACGACTGGATACAGTCTTGTTAATGTCACATGATTTAACAGTTTTAGAAAAATTCAATTTGTCTAAAAGCAACCCCTTCGTCAACGGGTTAATCTTATGATAAAAGATATTTCTGTCTTTTAGACTTTTTCTGTAACGCATAAGATATGTATGCAACATGAATAGTTTGTTATTTTCAAATATGATCGTTTTTATGAGTGCCTAATATCTGAAAATAAAACTCGTTCTAATTGACCAAAAAATATCTTTGACATCGAGTCGGGCCACGAAAAAGTGCCCCATATCGAACTCTGGATTGTATAACAATGTGAGAGAGGATTTGTTTCAGAAAAAAAGTTATTTTTATTTAAAACAATAACAATAAACTCTCGACGTTACATAGAATAATTCGCAAAACAGATCACTGCAAATTAAGTCATCTAAAATAGTTTCATTTTCATACAGTAACAACTCATTTTTGATCACAATGCTAATGTCCTAGAAAATCTGTAATCTTTGTTCTATCTTTCCGAAACTAGTATCAATAAGTATAAGAAACTGTCACTAGTGATTAGGAGTGTAACTCTAAAAAATAAATATAAAATCAAGAATAAAGAATAAGTTTTTTTTTGTCAGAGTAGGCTGGATGAATGGTTAGGATCACAATAGATAAACATGTATCAAGACCAACCGCCTTAGTTAGTCTCAATTTCCGTGTGGATATCGGTCAAAATCACAGAATCGGTTAATTTGTGAGTATCATTTTTTCTCAGGAAAGCCTATTTTAACAAAATCATGAGTTTTGTTAAAACTTGAACAGAGGTTTGAAGGAGTCCAGGATTCTAAATTCGGAGTTAGTTTCTGTAGAAAGAAATATTTTATTTTTAGAAAGCAGTTATAAATTCGAGATCATCGACCCCGAGAAAACCTTTGGTCAAATTTTATTAAAAATAGTGATTTTTTTAAAATAGGCTTCCTTGGATCGAGAAATGAGGGTCCCATGCAATTCCTGTACCCCGAAAAGTTCTGTAAAAATTCTCTATTTTCTGAATATACGCTTTACGAAAAGAAAAAAAATCCAAGTCACAGATTTAATGTTATTTGTGATTTAGACCTAGATCGAACTTTACCTGATATGGATTATAACAGTCTGTAATTTCGTTGAGCCTTTTACATACATCACGACATGACAGGAGGATTGATAATGGATCCAAGTTGTCCAGAATACGAAACACCATCTCCACAGGTAAAGTGTGAAGAGACAAAGTTGCCGTGTCAAACATTCTTGTTTTCGAAATTTGTGTTTTTTGTAGAGTCTATGTGAGCGTTGATATATATTTTCTCGTTTTTAATATGTTCGAGTGTGAATAACGTGCGAGACAAGTTTGTTGTTGTACAGAACTGGAAAAGTATGAAGAAAGGATGAAATAGAGAGGCATGACTCATTTCGAATTCGAAAGTAAATTCTTATGCCTGATGTGTTGCGTTAAGTGGACAAACGGGTATATAAATAGCTAGGTATACTTACGATGGAAATTAATACTGGGATATATTGAAGTTGTTTTTATGTATGTAGGGAGCAAGCTACCTTGCTTATTTATATTCAATAAAGTTACATGTTTTTTTCCAAGTAATGTTTATTAACGTGAATCAATGGACCGTGCTATTTCATACACACGTTGACGAGATGGCCATGAATACATGTCTTTCACGCACGTTTTTTTTCATAATGCTGCACTATACAGTTTTGTTTTTCTTTCCTTTCCATTTTTTGCTTGAGATAAAAAACAAAAACGGTGCATATTTTTACGACATAGTCCTTTTATTGGGGATTTTATTTCGTAGAGGCTTCAACACAGATTATTAAATAATATTGTGAATCCGAAAATTTTGAATGGTTTTGAGAATATTCACTATGCGTTTTCCCATAAATTATAACAATTTAATAAAAAATAGCAACAGAAAGTAAAATGAGTTTTACCAGTAGACCGGCAAAAGACAGGTGGACTAGGAAGATATTACGTTTATCCATCAACTATTTCATCTTCACAAACTCACTGTCCGTTTGAAATGTCATTACACATATGATGAAAACACCATCAAAACACTTCTTTACTTTTACTTTTCTTGTTTCTTGAGAGTGTGGGTGTGGGCGTGGATTAAGAGAATTTAAGTTTGTCCGCACCCACACCCTCTATTCTTTTTTTCCTATGTTTTGTTATCTCTTTGATATTGATTCATTACTCTATTTCAATCAGTTTTTTCCTTAATATCAAGTTTTTCGAATATTTATAAAATACACTATTGATTTACGCAAGAACTTTTTTATCAATATGCATATTAGAAACGAGGTAAAAAATCGATTTTAATGGACTTTTACTTGTTAACTTATAAATTCTATGAAAAATAAACTTAAACCATCTTAAGGGATTTGAGTTTAGATATTAGTTGATCATGATACTCTCGTATCCACAGTTACAGCCCATCATCAAGATGGCTTATCATTATCAAGGTAGTACCCTTCAGTACCATTTATAATTTGTCACGCACACACATTATACATGGTAAGTTGCCTAAAAGGTTTTGCCTTGTTAACTAATTGCTTGTTTCTAATAATATCTAATTATTTTAAAAGATAAATAAACGTTTATATGAGATGAAAGAATTAACACTAATTGTGACGTCATTTCATATTTGCACTCTATAATGAAGAATAACACATTTTTAATCCACCTCATTGGTGCTTAATTAGTGTAACACAATAATTTTTTATTCTTTTTATATACAGGAAGGATGTAAGAAAACAATGTAGAAAAAAGTAGAAATTCTTTCTCTAGTATATATATTAGTGCTCTGACGACAATGCAAGATATGAAAAAAAACGTTTCAGTTTAGTGAGTGCAATTGAATCGATGTCTGATACGACTGCAGCAACGTTGGCTATCATACAAGCCATTCAGAATGCTCAGCTTGCTCTTGTTCGAATAACCACACCAATTTTGCTTATTCTTGGCAATATTGGCGAGATTCTAAACATTATCATTTTTGTTCAACGTATCTTTCGAACTAATTCTTGTGCTATATATTTCCTTGCTGCTTCATGCACACAATTGTTCTTTATCAACTGCTCTATCCTTCTCAATGGTCTTTCTCTCGGTAAGTTTGCAAATATTTGATCTATTATATATAGTTATTATGATTATGTAGGCTATAATATCGACCCAGCGCAAACATCGCTGGCCTTTTGCAAGATCAAGTTCTATCTTACATATATTACGGCTATTCTACCACCAAGTTTTATGGTTTTAGCTTGTATCGATCGATTATTATTGAGCTCACGAAGTGCGACAGCACGTTCATGGAGTCAACCACGATTTGCCTATCGATCGATAGGTTGTGTATCTCTATTCTGGATACTCTTTTCCATTCATAGTTTATTTGGTTCCACCATTTTTTCAAGATTAGGCTATACACAATGTTACATTCAGCCAGGTTCCTATACGCTCTTTGTAGCTTTATATTCAATCATCATCAATTATCTTTTACCACCAACACTCATGGCTATCTTTGGTCTACTTACCATTGCTAATATTCGACAAACACAAAGACGGATTCATCCAAGGACAAGAGCTGGATATTTGCATCGAAAAGATCGACACCTTTTGCGCATGTTACTTTTTCAAGTACTGGTCAATATTATATGTGCGATACCAGGGGGAGGTTATCAGGTATGAGCTGCTTCAATTTTACCATATTAGAAAGTAACATAACGATCTGTTATTTTAGTTGTATAATGTAGTATCAACCAATTGGCAAAAGAGTGCTGTTCAAAACACTTGGGAGTTGTTTTTCTATGCATTGGCATTAACTCTGTTCTACATTCCGAACTGTATTGGCTTCTACATTTATACTCTAACAGCGAGTATCTTTAGGCAAGAACTGAAGCGAATAATAATACAATGCTATCGTCATTTTTTTCCTCAGAAACAAACACGAACAGCAGCGGTGATGACCACTGGCATGTAAACACAAATGGAATTTATCCCATATATATTATTTAATTCAAGCTGCTCTTTTTCTGTCAATATATTGTATCTTTTTGTTGTCTGTATGTTTCATCTAACTAAATGTACTTATCTTAAAGTATTCTATCTGAAAATGAAAAATTCTATTATCAAAAAAATATATATTTATTTTTCAAAACATTCTTCATGTGATTCTCTGTCAAACTGATTTGCTTGCTAAACGTCGAAAGGAAAAATGTCGAAATTGAAAAAAGTCGAAAATACTTAGATGTCGTCATTGACCAGTATCGATGTTTGTTCTAATCATTTTTCTCGTATTTTCTTTTGGCTTCTTCTAAAATCGTTATGTCAACTAGTCAGAGTCTGGGTGTGGGTTAAGAGACGATTAACACCCACACTCACACTCAAACCCACATACACACCCTGTCATATATGATTCGATGCATACTCATTCATCTTTTTTCCACATGATCATTAATGTTCCCGTTATATGCCACAAGTATTTATTATTTTCTTATTACTTATTACCAGTAACAAGTAATAGAAAATAAAAGTAACGTAGCATCTTTACTTCTTGTATAGATTTGAAAAAAACATTAAGAAGAATTCGTTTTCTTCTATTGCAGGTAAAAATATTCTACGCAACCTTATATATTGGATTTTTCTCTTTCCTCCGTTCTCTTGTTTTTCTTCCTTGTTTTTCTTTCACCCCTTTTATTAACCATTTTACCCACGTCATGAGTCATGACACATTATATATACTCGTATAAAGTATCAAAATTTGTCATTTGTTGATTACTTTCACACTTTTATATCTTTAACTTTACCTTCAATAAATTCATTCTTTTTTTTTTTATATATATGCAAGCATCTTAAAATAGATTAATCATTACTCATACTCGACTAATATATGCCGTCCATTATTGTGCCTCTGGTATTTGTATTTTTAACTAATTTTCTCATTCAACCATCGGTATGCGTTTTGCCTCCTGATTTACCAAATGTTGAGCTTGATGATATTACATCACTACAATATGAATTTCCATCAATGATTGGCAAAATGAAAATGCTTGGTAGGTTTTAAAAACTGATTATATAAAATTCATTTGAGTTGTTTTTTTCGCTAGTAAATCAACTTCATTGCCCAAAAGGATGGGAACATTTTGGTGGTTCATGTTATTATTTATCTAAAATAAAATCAATATCAACTCAAGCTAATCAAACATGTAGTACTCTAAATTCAAATCTGATGCAAATACGAAATACAATTGAATTATTTTATGCATCTTATATTTTAACTAAAAATAATTTATCTACATTAATGATTCATATCGAACCAAATTTATTAAAAGGTAACCAAATATTTTTTTTTCAATTTTGTTTTGTTATCTAAGAAGAAAAACCATTTTAGGAATTTTAACAGATGATCAAGATCAATGGCAACTTATGAAAAACAAATTTCGTAAATTATTTATTCGAGATTATAAATTAAAAGAAAAATTTATTGATGAATTGAATGCAGCTGGTTTACGTATATCAAAACGTTCAAAAAAAATAAAACAAACTGTCCGAAATTCAGATACTTATAATCATTATAATAATGAACGTAATGATGAATATGAATATGATAACCTGAATTTAGCAGATGAAAAACAAATGAATGATATTCAAGGAATATGCGATCGATTAGAATGGAATTTTATAAATAATGGTTCTACAGTTTATATATTAAAAACTTCTTTGATATCAAATAAAATGATTTGTTCATTAAGTGATGTTGAATCTAATATTGAATATAAACATATTTGTGAAAACGGTTTGTAATTTTTTTAATTATGAAATGAATCATCTCTTTCCTATCTGATCATTCTATAGTACTCAATTTCTGTTTTGAAAATAACAAATGTGGCAAACATGGTCGCTGTATAAATACATTATCAGATTTTAAATGTTCTTGTTCATTTTTATACGATGGTCTTCTTTGTGAAAGAAGTAAGATTTACTTTTTTGGAAAAGAAAATATATCAATATTTCTTAGTCTCAAGCCAAGGTAGACAGATCATTATTGGTCTTATTGTTATTTTTGTACTTTATGGATTATCAATACAACCAACTCGACGAGGACTTGTATTCATTGTTAGAGCATGTATTAAGTAAGTTTATCAAATTAATGGATAATAATTATGGTTTATCTGTTTTTATCATCGTTTTTGTAGATGCCGTTTTAAAAAACATCAACATAAAAAACGAAATAAAGAAAATAACACTGAAAATCATGAAGAGGAGCAAGAACTACATAATATAAATCAATCTCGTCAAATTGTTTCTGTAGAAAAAAGACGATTAACGTAAGTTATTGTATCATAGTATAACCTCTCTATAGTGGCCACTTTTGGAAGGTTTTCGATTTTTTGTTAGGAGATTATCGTTACAATTACTACAGTGTATCGCTTCGTGGGTAGACAAATAAATATGTTCAATTCTTTCTTTTAGTTTATTGGAAACATCTCCTCGAAATAAACGTTCTCCTATTCGATTAATTTGGGTTTGTGGATTAAGTATATTCTTTTTAACATTATTGCTTTGTCTAACAGCAACAATACAATTAACATTATTTAAACATGATACAGTTAAATTAGAAACAAAATGTAAAATTCTATCAAATAATAAAATGTCAACTTACGCATTGGCTTCATTAGCACTTGCTTTAATACTCATTTTTTCTTGGACAATTAAACGAGAAAACAAATGTTTACATTTACGTAATGATCGATCAGCTAAAATTTTTTTAAATATTTTATAGAGTTTTTTCATAGGTTTAATATCACCAATTGAACCATTCCGAATAGAAAATCGTTTTACAACAGCAACAGTTTTTGGACTTCTTGCATTTGAATTATTACAAAAATTTGAAGGATTGTTATTTAATGGAATGAATCTATTAAATGATGGTATACTGACTGCATTATTAGAAATAGTAACTATTGCTCTTATTGGGTAAAAAATATTTTAGAAATGAAGAAAAACTAAGTAATGTTATCTGCTTTAGATTGCGATATTATCCCATACTTGCTTCATTACAATTACGTAATATTATTGGACGATTTTTAATCTGTTTATATATATTAGGTAATATTATCTATACAATCATACGAGAAGGAGCATGTATGAGTTCTTTACCTATATCAAAATATGATTCAATTTCAAAAGAAACTAAACTTCCAATAGTATGTTAAAGAATTACTTAATATTGATTAGTAAATTTCTAATTAAATCTTCTTTAGGAACTTAATACAGAATTCTTTATTATTTTTGGTTTATTAAAAAATATTCCATATTTTATTTTACTTTCATATATTACCGCGGAATTATTTGTACGTTTTGCATATGATTCCATATATATTCCAATTAAGAAAAAGCAAAGTGTATGGTCATCACCTATTACACAATCTGATGAATATTCATTTGCAAAATATTATGTAACAAAATTATTTCGAAGAAATCCTTCTTTTAATCAACAAGTCTATTCAAAAGACGAATCATATATTAAAAAATGTCTTCATTCAATTTATCATTGGAATAACGATTTTCATTTTACAACAATAGCTATATGTACATATACAGTAGCTATTATTTTTCTTTATTATTTATCATATACAATTATTCTTCGATATATATCATTTGTAAACTATTATACTGGAACAATATTCAATATTAATAAGACATTTTATCTTTATTCATTGGAATTTATAGTCATAAGTGCAGTTATTACGATTGGGATAATCTCACTTCAATTGTTTAATGGAATAAAGAATTATAAAGAACATAAGTTACAATTATTTAAAGGTATATATGTAGATATTCCACCAGCAGTAAATTTAAAATCAAATACAATCCTATTAAAATCACTTTCATATTTTGGTTTTCTTGTTGGTCATATGGCATGTAGTTTTATAATATTTTTTCATTTGATTATTTTCATATTTTATGCAATTCATATAATATCTTTACATATGCCTTATATTGAATTATTACTTAATGTAATTGTACCTGTATTTATTCTTTATCTATTAATAATGGTTGGTAGATCTACAGTTGAAAAATATTTTTTTATTCAAAATATGAAAGAAGAAAAAGTTTATGAAAATTTTCTTTATTTTTCTTTTATTATTGGTAAGATTTATTTTAATTTAAATATGTTGAAATATATAAAAAAAGGAATTTTGTTTTTATTAAGATTGTTTTCTTGGTTTTGTTTCATGTATTATTCGTTTAATCAAAGCCATTTTTCTTAATATAATTTATATGTCAAGACTTGATTGTAGTTTACATGGAAGATCAACAGAAAAACTCGGTAGAATATTCGATTTTATATAAAAAATAAATTAAATTCTTTAATTCAGATCTTGGCTTCACTGTATATATCTCATATTTACATATGGAAGTTGCTCATACAAATCCAGTGATGCTCGGTGAGCTTTGATAAATCCAAAAAATTTTATTTTATTTTTCTTAGCTTTTTGTTCTTTATTGTACGATAATATCGTTCAACGACGTCCAAAATTTGATGATGACGATGAATCATTATCGAGAAAAACAATAGTACATACACAAAAAGCACGTGGACTTCACGAAATTAGAAGATATAGACAATCTCGTTTTCGCTGGTTTCTTGCATATACTCTAATACATAATCCCTATTTATTTGGTCTGAGACACCAAAGAGAAATAAGGTATCTTTATTTTAGAAACATTTCTTTCAGAATTACAGAACATTATTTATCTTTATCATTAAGTGTTAATGCCCAACAAGACAATACATATCTTTCTACTGATGATAATTCGCAACGATTATTAAATAACTTACCTTCTCTATCCACATTTAATGTATCAGAAATTTAAATCTTATTGTTATGTAATATTTTAGCCACGAAAAAAGTTTTTTTCTAACAATTAAATAAAGACAACATTATTTTTCGATTCTGATCTCATTCGTGTAAAATGTTCTCACATCCTGAGGGTATATGTGTGAGTGTGAATGTTTGCCTTTTCTTTTTCACACCCACACCTACACTCCCAAATCATTCTTTAATTCAATTTTTATTAACAAATTTTTTTCAAATCAGACAAAAATCTTTGCAACATTTGTTTTGTTCAAAAAAATTCAGAATTATAATAACATATTTATTTTTCTTTCGTAAAAGATATTTTGGTACATAAAATACAAAATAATATTTATTTATACGACAAAATTTATTTTATTTTCGAGAAGAAATCAATTATTCTACTGAATTACTTTTTATTCTCGTCGATCTTTAAAATATTTGTTTTATCATTTATATTAAAAGAATATATGTCAGTAGCATTTTATTATTGTCAAACATCGATATCCTTAAGATGGAATATCAATCGAAAATGTGCTCACTTTCGAAACTTGTCTTAACTTCCAGGTTGATGAAAATTCTTAAGCTCTTTTGGGTGTGGGTGTGGATGAAGAAACCAACAAGGCCCACTTTACCTTCTTGATGGGTGATATACCAATCTCTCATCCATTCAACTGCATTGTTATGTTTATTATCATCTCTCTCGTTCTCCACATAGTTATTGTGTGTTACTCTTTTTTATTCATTTTTCATATTATTTCAAAAACTGAATTTATAAACTTGTGATGTTTTGTAGCTATTGCGATATAAATAAAAATTTTGTATGTCTCATTTTGAATTTTTATTTTATCGATTAAATTTTTCTAATTGTTTTCTACAAGAATTACATATGATGTTTCGGGTATCACTGTTGATGTCGACGTGGGTGTCGAGCTGAATGATGCACACCCGACAACTAACTATTTTATCAAAAACTACAAAAGTCTCCTCCTCTATCATCATCAGCCGTCAGCATAGAAAGATAATTGCATTCCATACACGTGTGACAGTGATCATACTGAGATATGCTGCGAATCTTTCAAAGAAATATATTGATGAATGTGTATATAATAAATGAAACATGCCAGACTAAAATAAAACAATATTCGATATTAAATAAACTCTAAAGAAAAAAATTCTCAATCATCTCAAAACTTATTTATTACATGCAGAGAAAGGTGTTTTCAAATATTATTTTTGTTAGAATGATTATCTGATCAATTGATACTCAGTATTGTATCTATATTTTCTAACGGATCAATTCTTTGATATCAAAAGAAATGACGCCTGCCTTCAGTATGTTTCCTTCTTCTCTTATTTGATTCTGCTGGTTTACTTCGATGTTAGATATTTAAGGAATTGATAATTTGAAGGAAGGAAATCGATCTTAGCACAAGAAAAAAAGAATAATAAGAACGATGACAGATTCTAATCTCGAAATGCAGAAAAACAGATTGATTAAGATTTTCTATTTGTCAGTGTTATATATATTTTTTATATTATATATATCAAATCAAAATAATATTTCAATAGATTTATTTTTATTTTATTTGATTTCATATTCATTATATACTGGTAATAATAGGATACGAGGAAGATAAAATCAAAATATTTAGTAGTGATTATATATCCTTCACTTGACTATCGTTGTTGTTTCTTTCTTTTCCACATTCATATGTGATATACGTGCTTGGATTATTTTTATTTTTTTCGTTGGAATTTTCTTTTCTTTCTTTCTCATACTATATAACCAACACACGTTTTAACATAATACACACAATAACGACTTGTACTAATGTCTGACAAAATTATCTCTTCTTTACTTACACTACCGGTAGAGCTTACATATCGGATTTTGGATAATTTGGACATATCAACTATTCTATGCTCAATGCGTAATGTTTGTATACGCATTAATCAAATTGTCGATACATATTATCGATATCAGGTACAGTTTTTCTCTATTTTTTAATCATTGATTTTCAAAATATTCATCACTATCATAATTAGATAGAAAGAGTAAGTTTAATGTAGTTTTATGTTGAAAATCTAATTTAATGGAAATTTTCGATCTTCTGTCGATCATTATCAAGCTTTTAACACAACCTGATGATACAAACACAAAAAAGATTTTACACGAAAAAATATATGAAAAAGATGAAAAAATCATATAATAATAAGTATAAATTATAAATTATCTTATATGTAGTCATCATTTGAACATAAACATCATAATCATAACCATTGAATTGCTGTCAAATGATAATGATCGACAGAAGATCGAAAATTTCCATTAAATTAGATTTTCAACATACAACTACATTAAACTTACTTTTTCATTTATTAATTTCAAATCTGAAAATTATTTATATTCATACATTAATGATACATAGTAGTATTAAACAAATTGAGTACTTATTTATTAGTTGTGAATTGCATTTGACAGCAATTCAATGGTTATGATTATGATGTTTATGTTTAAATGATGACTACATATAAGATAATTTATAATTTATACTTATTATTATATGATCTTTTCATCTTTTTCATATATTTTTTCGTGTAAAATCTTTTTTGTGTTTGTATCATCAGGCTGTGTTAAAAGGTTGATAATGATCGACAGAAGATCGAAAATCTCCATTAAATTAGATTTTCAACATAAAACTACATTAAAATTACTTTTTCATTTATTAATTTCAAATCTGAAAAGTATTCATATTCATACATTAATAGATAGAAAGAAATATGTACAATATTTTCTTATAAATTCAGTAATCTATAAATTTTTAATCGATGAGAAAAACGATCATTTCTAGCGGATAAATATCGTCCAAGGTAAAAGTGCTATTTCTTTCCTTTCTGTTTATGTATTAGCATGGAAGAGAGATATGTGTATATATGTCGAGGTATCGGTGATATATGAATAAAAACGTCTTCGATCAGTAATGGATTTTGGTTTTCATTCTAACAGAGTATCGACATAAGTAAAAGAAAAGTACTATTTTATTTCACTATTTCTCTGAGTTTACTAAAACCTTTTTTTTTCCTTCAGCTGAAATTAAAGAGAATGTCGGTCAATTTCCTCAAGAATTATTTCACATGCAACAGGTTTATGCATGACTTATCTTATTCTGATATAATGATCACTTTTTTGAATATGTATCGTCGGTATTTTTTCGATTTATTATAATGATATATATGAATATAATTTATCAAAAATAATTATTTATAAAATACAATATATAAGATTACTGGAACAACCTGTAGAGTCTGAAGATTGGATTATAAAATTTAGTTATAAGTCTTTTCATTATTCGAACTTTCTTTTTACTTCGTATAGAACACCACTACACTGGATCTCGAACGATGTGACATTGGTGACCAAGGAGCACAACATTTAGCCGACGCTCTACAAGATAACAAAGTAACATAATTTTTTCATTTTTGCTTTCTACCGATCACTCATTATTTTACATAGACACTCACTGCACTCAATCTCTGCTACAACGGGATTCATTCACAAGGAGCACAGAGTCTTGCCAATGCTCTTAAAAGAAACAAAGTAACATTCTTCTCACATATTTTCTTTATTCCATCACATACTCTTTAATTTGCATAGACACTCACTACACTGAATCTCGAGTGCAATATAATTAAAGGTGATGGAATAGAATATCTTGCAAATATTCTCAAAAGAAACAACGTAACATTCTTTTCTTGTTTTCTTTATTCCATCACTTATTCTTTATTTCACATAGACACTTAATACATTGAACCTTGGAGCCAATGATATCGATGATCAAGGAGTACAATACTTAGCCGATATGTTACAAGAAAATAAAGTAATACGTTACCTTTAATTTTTTCTTTTTCTATCAATCATTGATTACTTCCCATAGACACTCGTCACACTAAATCTCAATTGGAATCTCATTACCGACGAAGGAGTATATCATCTTGCCAGTGCTCTACGAAAAAATGAAGTAAAATTCTTCTACAATTTTTTTTGTCTTATCATTCGTTCATATTTCACATAGACACTCATCACATTATATCTACGGGATAATAAGATTGGCCCAGAAGGTGTAAAACATCTTGTTAGTGTTCTACAAAATAATACAGTAATATTCTTGTCATATTTTCTTATCCTAACACATTGACTATTTCACATAGACACTCACTACACTTAACCTCTCCGACAACTATATCTATGCACAAGGAGTACAAATTCTTGTCAATGCTCTTAAAAGAAACAAAGTAACATTCTTTTCATATATTTTCTTTATCCTATCATTTACTAATTAATTTACCTAGACACTCACCACACTAAATCTCAGGAACAATGATATTCATGTTGGTGGTGAAGGAGTACAATATCTTGCCGATGCTCTGCAAGAAAACGATGTATATTCTTTCATCATTTTTCTCATTCTGTTATTTACTTGCTACTTTATACAGGTACTTACTACATTAGATCTCGAATTAAGTGGTGTGGAATGTCGAGGAGCACAATATCTAGCAAATGCTCTCGTGAAAAATAAAGTAAAATTTCTTGCTCGTTTTCGTATCGTATCACTTACATATTATTTCACATAGACACTCACTACACTCAACCTCTGCTACAACGGGATCCGATCAGAAGGAGCATATTATCTTGTTAGTGCTCTCAAAAAAAATAAAGTAATATTTTTTTCTGATTTTTTTTATTGTATCACTCGCAAATTATTTCATATAGACACTTACTGAATTGGACCTTTCTTACAATTATATAGGTAATGAAGGAGCAGAATATTTCATCGACCTCTTACAAGAAAACAAAGTAACATTTTTTTCCCATTTTTCTTACGCTAACATTCATTGATTGTTTTACACAGACACTCCTCATACTGAACCTGTTCGATAACAGAATCCTTGATGATACTCAGCAACGTCTTCGGGATATACGGAAAAATCATCTGGAACTAAAGTTAGACTTATAGATGTTACAAAAACGAACTATTGTTCATTGATATCAGTATAAAAAACATATCTCAAAATCTTTTTGTATTTTATGACTTATGAATTTTGCTTGTTTTGTATAATTTTAACAGTTAGTTTAAAAGATTTTTTCGTTTCACTCATGACCTTCTAATCTTACGAAAAATGTTGATACGAATCAATTCTTTGTATTGAATTCTCATTATATGCTAATATTCTGCAAATTCATTTATTTCTATTTATGATAAAAATTAATGTTCATATCATATTATCATTTACATAAGGTTTATTGTTGGTGTATCTATTGATGGTAAAATCATAGTCATTAGAATGTCATCGAATTGAACTGTAAAGAAGAAAAAAAAATGTCTTATTCATTCTTTAGATACTAGTTTGATTTCATATATTAAACAGTAGCAATGTGGTGTATACCTATAAAAAAACTAACGTTTGAACACGGTCTTGTACTATTCCAACTCACACTCACACCTACCCTTGACGATAATCTTTAATATTCGATTAAATCTAATAATTATTCTTTCTGGTTTTAAAAGAGAATTGGATAATTTTTATTGATCTGAGCAATTCAAATAGAGCAATGAAAAACTCTATCGATTGATTTTTTTCACAACTAAGAAGATATTTTATTTTACAATAAATGAATTCTAAATTCTATTTAATAGTTTATCAGACACAGAATCATGATTGAAAAACAATTCAGGGGCGGGCCACCACGAGGCCATTGGTGGCAATTGCCACACCCAAAAAAATTAAACAAAATATTTTCTTTATTTATATAGTCATACCAAACTCTGAAAAAATAGTAAGAGTTATCTAAGTGTGGCATTATTTAAATCATCTATTCCAGTGACGTCTAGTAGCGAATAATAAAGCTTATTTAAAAAGTAGTGTTGTACAAGATAAATTGTCAGGCATTGCCCTTTTGAATATGAAAAAAGATTTTGGAATTAATATTGACAAAATAGTAACAGATTTTGTTGCAAAAAAAGATGGAAGAAAAATAATTTTTTGAAATAAATATTTTTTTAACTAGTATGTTTTCATTTACTTCATGCCAAAACAAGAAAAAATCAAACAAATAAATTATATTAGAAGAAAGACAGCTTCGTTCGTCACATGAATGTAGGTAGTAGTTACGTAGTATTTTCTGAACTTTAAAAACAGTTTCTTTTTTATCATAGTATGGTATTATTGCCACACCTATCGTTAAGCCGCTGGCCCGCCTATGAAACAATTGGTTTATACATCTGGGCAAGTTGATTTTGTTTTATCCAATAATTGATCCTCGTAAATAAGAGAATCACCAAATTTATAAGGTAACGAATAAACACATATCATAATATTCTCCATCCATAATCCCCAATGACATCGAATAAATCATTGATGATGTTCGATCCAAAATGGTGTACGATATGTCGCGAGAAATTGATCGATTTTTTCTTCATTTCTCTGATTATCAGTTGAAGGACAAAGATCGGTATTCATCTTCATTTGGAAAACTTTCAATTGCGGTAGATAATTAACAATGATTTGTTCCCATTGACTTCCATCTAACTTTATAGAGAATATTTCAACTTTCAGATGACTAACATTGAGTAATAATTGTAATAAATTAATCATTAGACGTTGTGTATTTACTTTATATAGAATAAGTCTTTTAATAGATCGATTCTTAGGCGATGGAAGAAATTGATAAAGAGAAGGTATCTCATCTATCTGGAAGGTTTTCAATGATACGGCAATGTTCGTAAATGTGGTGTCTTCTTTAATAAATCGACAAATTTATTTGAATACCACCAATTCCCAAGAATTGTTAAGTATTGCAACGATGTTGATACGGAAGTAGGAATACAAAAATGACTTCTACCACGAAAGCAGAAATCAAAATAGCAATGTGTCAATTTTGGTAAATTCCAAATTTGATCAATTACACCTTGAAAATCATCGGAGGAAATGCCATGCAGTCGACAATTAATAAATTTCTGATGTGTCGAATTACGAAGATGATATAAATCGGAAAAGAAAAATTGGTCAATCTTTGAATCCGAACTAACATTTTCCAATGTTAAATAACGAAGATTATCGAACTGACCAAATGTGAAACCTGCAGATTGAAAATGAGCACATTGATATGGTGTGTCTTCATTATCGGAGAGTCGAAGATAAATTGTTCAATTTATTATAAATGGAAGATATGTTCGACAGAAACGATTGAAATCTTCTTTGAATATTGAACGAAAATCGACTCGACAATCTCGAAAATGAATTAATAAAGAATTCAAACGAGTATTCAGACCATAAAAAGAACGAAAGAGGTCGACTACATCAAATAATTCGAATAATTCAATAAATAGCTCATTGGATAATGATTCTAATATCATCTTATTTGTTGTCATTACTGAGTGAAAATTTTAAAAAACGAATATATGATACACACCACTATGAAGAAAAATCCTAGGATGGATGGGTGTGGGTGTAGATGTGAAACTATAATAAACTACTCAAACCCATCCACCCACGCCCACACCCACCCATTTACCCTCATACTCACCGCTAATACTATGAAAATTTCCGAACGAAAATACAATAGATGCCGAAGAATAATTATTTTCATTTAACTATTGAAATGTTTTCCATATATGAAACAGATTTAAATAAGATTGGAAATCTTTCAACAATAATCATCAACAAAAAATTTGAAATAAATACTAAAAAGTAGATGTCATTGATCGTCAGCTATTTGATGAAACGTTCGAGTGAATAGGTGCTATTATGAATACAGTAAAAAAGTACGGAGAAGTACGAACGGGTATGAAGAGGCGACAAAAAGTATGGTCGAGTACAGAGACGTATGAAGAAAAATAAAAAGCGCAGAAGGTCGCTTATTATTCTGTGGCATATAGTTCTCGCGTTGTCATGTTTTTTTTCCTGTTCTGTCTTACGATGTAAAAACAAGACATTTATTCCTCTTTACACTCACAATCAACACGTTTTTTTTTGCAATTATTTAAAAAAAATGAGTTATTTAAACATTATTTTAGATATTCAGTCGTTGATTTCGATTAATAAAATTAGAAACTATTTGTCATAACATGGCTGCTGTACATGATGTTGCTGCCTCGAACGCACAAATTTTATCTTCTTTACAATCACCACCACATGTCGTTGTAGTTGGTGGTACGTCAGGTATTGGTCGTGGATTTGCTCTTACCATCAATCGACTTTGTCCAGCCGCTCATGTGACAATTATTGGACGTAATGAGTCTGCTGCCAATGAAATATTATCTCAATTAGGTTCCAATGGAAGTTTCATTCGTGCCGATGTTTCATTGATGTCTGAAATTCGAACAATTACAAAGAAAATCAAAGCAGTTGACATCCTTGTTCTGTCTCAAGGCGTAATATCAATGGATGCTTTTGCACGAACCAAAGAAAATATCAATTATGCATTAGCTTTAAATTACTATGGTCGAGTTTTATTCATCGAAGAACTTCTTCCATTACTTCGAGCATCTCCACTTGGTGGTAAAGTTATATCTGTCTTGAATAGTAAAAAAGGTGATCCATCAAAAATCAACTGGAATAATATGGGACTCGAGACTAAATGTTCTTTTTTGGTAGCTATTAATCATGCTTTCGCATTCAATGATCTTATCATTCAATATCTTGCTTCACAACCAGAAAATAGCAATGTCGGTTTTATACATTCATTTCCAGGTCACGTTAAAACTCCGATTATTGATAACTTACCTTTTTATATTCGACTACCTATAAAAGCGGTGGGAGCAATCAGACGTCTGGCTGTTAGTCCGGACGAGTGTGCCGAATTTATGATACATGGTATATTAAAGGCAGAGAAAGGCTATTTATACATGGATGAAAAAGGAGAAACTATCACAAACAAAACAGTAGCAAATGAAGAAATGCTACAAAAACTTTGGGAACACACTCGTGAATCTATTTCCTGTACTGCTTCGTAATAAATAAACTATGTATTTACTGTATTTTCAAATTTGTTTTTGAATATATTTAGAAAATAAATCATAGGTTCTTATATGACTTGCTGATCATTATCGAGTATAGAAAATGCGAATTTAAATTAATAAAGACATTTTCATCTATTTCTTAGCTTTTTCGACGAACTCTTTGTTGTTTTAAGGTTGATTTCGGAATAGTGAAGAGTTGTGCATTCATGCTCGAGATTGATTTTACTTAGACAATGGCAAAAGTTCTGATCATGACATTAAGAATTTTATAATATTCTAAATGTTGAATGTTTTTTATAATATTTTATATTCTAACCATCTTGAGGATGTGAGTGAGAATAAGGATGGGTACGTGAGGTGACGGTGTATGGGTGTAATCAAGAAATCATCACAAACCCCTACAACTATTGAAAGCTTTATTTAAGAGTAATCGAACAAATATTATTATATTAATCAAATTATATGAATAAAAGTATTTTCTGATCAATTCTTTGAATATTCTAAGGACAATAAACGATGAAACGTTATTTAAAATAAGAAAGTCAGCATACAAAAATCGAGTTTATATAAGAACTTTATTACACGCAAAATGAACATTATGAAGGTTGTAGGTGTGAATATTCTATCTCAACCACAGCTATCATTGTAAATTGTTTTGATGTGCTGCTGTTCAAAGTTTGACAAAAATGATTGTTTTTTGTTAGTTTTTATTTATTTGAATAATTAAAAATATTTACAAGAATATTAATTAAAGCTGTTTTTTGTTTAGCCAACGCTGCCTGACGATTGAATACTATAGTATTTTGTTATGCTTGCCTTAAACGTTTCATGGGTAAGATTTCCGGAACAACGATTTGTGTCCTTCCACGCCAACAAGAAATTAATCTTCTCAATCCGAATTTTCTCTTCGGTAATGACATGGCACTTATAAAAGGAAACAAACATATAACATAATATGAAAAAAATTGTGCATGCAATTGAAAATCGGCTCCAAAATCTTGTGATAGGCAACATTGTTGCATGAGTTCGACGAACATGAGTGGAATATAAAGAAACAAATATAGGATCGATATGGATAATAACTGAATTGTCATTTTTCGATGTCTTTTCCATTGAAATAGTTGATGCATACGATGTTTTTGTAATAGAACACGTATAAGAAGAGCAATGCTAAACAAAATAATAGCTAGAGTCGGCAATATATTATTAATTATAGTATCCCATAAGGCAACTAATTTCATGTCATAATAACAAAGAGGACGACCACATAAAGGTAAATTGTATTGGAATATATTCACACATGGTGGAAATAGAATTGTGACAGCATGAAATATGAAACAATAAGCAAGTATTGCAGCTAAAGGAAGGTAGTGAATAAGAAAACGTTTCTTTTTTGTTGACATCCACTTATCATGAAAAATTAGAATATACCGTTCGATTGAAGCCCATGCAACCAGTATTAATGCACATGTAAAGACTCCTCCATCAAGAAACATCCAAATCAAACATAAGTGCGATACAGCTGGTAAGGCTGTACCCAAATAATAATAGCTGAGATGTAATGGAATGCTTGTGAGTGCATATAGTAAGGTGTTAAATAATAGAACGATGATAACATGATTATTGAGAGTACGACGTAGAACACGATCAAAGAGTAGATGATAGAGAACAATTAGACAGCAAATGATCGATAGAAGAAATGAGAAGAAAAATAGCCAAAATCGAATGGAGAAAGAAATTGAGACATCAACAAGTGTATATGGATGATGATCTATCATTGTCAATAGTTTTCCTTTTAACTTGATATTCTCTAAAAATAAAATATACACATAAATTAAAGTTACTCAACACAGAATTTCTTCCACTTCTTCTTCTCCTACGATTACACGCGAGTAGAAATTAGTGCATATAAATATGAATTTCATTGTATCTTCATCAGGTATATACTAACAATACTATACGGCTGTAAAATTTTACCTTATGGTAAAATCTTGAGAGTCAGAAATCTTTAACAAAATATCAATTATCAATTAAATATACATAATCTCATTTGCTATGAGATAATAAAAATTTTTATACTTAAGGAAACGCTTTTAGCATTCTAATCTGATGAACTTATCTTAATTGTCTTTTAAACAGCTGAGTTTAGCTTTTGAGCATAATTGAAATAGTCACCTGATGTAGTCTGAAAGAAAATTACAGCTTTATCAAAATCAGAAGTGGATCGTGATAGACAAGCTTTTAAGGACTGAACTATTATGAAATTCATTTCCGCCATATAAGGAAAATAAGAGTAAAAAGATGAGACTTCTATCTGTAAATCTCAAACTTATCTAATGACAATTCAACTTTTTCATTATCGCGAAATGATTATCGACATAATAAATGGGTGCTGATTTTTCATATTAATAGGTTACTCCCATATTAGAAGAGATGAACAATATGACAAACCATATTTATTTTCAGTAACAAGAAATTCATAAAATTTCCAGATGTCCACTACCTTAAAATAGACTTTCTATATTGCTATTATTTTTAATTTTCTGCTAAGAGCATTATCATAAGGCGATTAATATGTTGACAAAAATGTGTCAAAATAATGATTTTGTCTTATTCATGTCCTGCTGACGGATTAGTCTTTTCTTTCTTAAAAAAAAAATACTGCTCATAGACGTCACAGATGTATGAGATTTTGACGATAAAAGAAAAAGCTTTATACATAGAATGCGGCAGAACAGGAACCATCTTTGGTATTAAAGGTAAAAGATAAATAGCAGCTAACAGTTTTTAATAGTCATGTGTTAAACATTTACTTATGGCAATCTAAAAGAGTATCGTCCAGGCCTTATTTCATGTTTGTACGAAAAAAATTTTTTGATGAATAAATAGAGGAAAAGACGCTCTCCCTATTCATCAAAAAAACATTTCTCTGGTTTCTATAAGAAAATAAGGTCTGGACGACACTATTTTGTGATTACTCTAAGTACTTATAAAAAAATATAAGATTAACATCAGAGTATTATTCAGATGAAAACCCTATATTCTTTTAAATCTTCAAAAAAAAGTATAATTTTCCGGCTCATCAACATCGTTTCTTCAATGCTGATTAATGAATAATATAATGTTGAAATCAGAAAGTCTTTTATAAACGATTTTCTTCATAATTCTGATTTAGTAAAATTTTTTTCCTCTGAAAACTTTAAATAACACTGTACCAATCTATCATTGGTATTTCTATCGAAAAAGTATTATAGAAGACATGTTTGAGTTAGTTGCTAGTGGATTCAGAACCAAAACACATCTATACAATACTCGCTCTCAAAGGGCTGAAACAATTATGAAAAATACTCAATTAAAAGTTTTTTTATCTTCACCGAAGGATATCATATTTTAGATATTTTGATTCGTTGCCGGTCTCCGATATACAAACAGACAAAAGTCATTATCTCTTCTTAGGCTAGTAGTCTATCGAATAAGTCATGATCTAATCAAATTTTATAATAAACTTTGAATTCTAATAGATAAATTTTCGCTGCATTTGATTTAGTTTTCTTAACAACTTACCCGAACAAGTAAAATAATAAAAGTAATTATATTTTCTTTTCTTTTTTATTATTTTTCAAAAACTCTTGGGACTATTCACACAAGTGTTCAATCAGGTTTTATATTTTTATTCCTAAACAAACATATATTAATAGAAAATTATATTAAAAAAACATTTATTAACACATACAAATAACTTTTTATTTTATAGAATATTATCAATCAAAATTGATGTACTATCTTCTCCGTTTATTAAAAAATACAAATGATGAGCTATCTGTATCATTTTAATATTGATTAATTTATTTTGTAATAATCAGACTACAACTTCCATATATGCAGGTACTCTCTAAACTTTTTCTAGGGTCATGATAAATCTACAAAATGTATTGTCATGTTTCTGTTATTTATGATATTCTGCATGGACGAACAAGACTCTTCAAACATACTGAGAAAAAAAAAACAATAATGAGATTTTTTTTATTAAATAGAAAAACAATTAAAGCATATCTGGGAACATTATCAAATGACAACTGTAATAAAAATCTTTCATTATAAGAATAAGTGATACTACTAACATGTGATTAGATATATGAATTGATCATGAATTCATTAATAGAAGTATATCAGATAAGTTGAATTTAAAACTTAATCAATATTTCTAGGAGGAATTCTTAAAAATCAAATAAATATAGTCATATTTCATTATGCTTGAGAGTAAGGATACATGAAGAATGAGACAACTTGACAAAAAATAACATACTTTCTATCTCCAGTTTTAGTCGTTCATCAATTACCACTTATCCTCAATTTTAAATTTCGATTATTTATAATTTTATGCAAGATATCGAGTTTTCTCATATGTGATAAAAAACAGATCTTGAAGGTGTGAATATCTTATCTGTCAAGGCACACCTATCTTTCTTTAATAATTAATATTTTAGAAGGACTTCTATCAAACAACTATGTCATTAATTTGAAGATAAAATCAATTGTGGAATTTATTCTATTGTTCTTTTCAATTTATTTGATGTGATTAATTTAAAAATTGAATTAATTCGAATTTACTTTGTCATTTATTAATAATAAATTTATTCTTAAATCATTTTCGTTTATAGGACTTTTATTTGATCAGTTTATCAATTAGATGTATAATTTACAAAACAATATTGATCTTTTACATGTTTCTTTTTATCAAACTATTATGATATACAAGTATTCTTAAAAAGTTTATTGAATTCAAAGATTTTCTTGTTCATAGATATCACTGATTGACAGCAAATTTTCTAACTACTCTTATAGTTTTGTACAATAAGATAGAAAAATAAGATATTTTAGAAAATATATTTCCTTTTGTTTTGCATATTGATGGCCTTAAATACGTTCAAACTTCTAACTTGTAATGCATAAAAATGATCCTGGTTATATAATCGCAATGTCATGTCTGTTATCATTTTATGTTCTGCATTAGTTTTTGATTAAAGCTAAATGTGCAGTATAATCAAGTACAGAATTGATGATTTGATTGTTTTTTATATACGCTAATATACTAATGAATATAAAAATGAAAAACTTCGATAATCAGTGGTTAGAGATCGTTATATTTCGATCTAGTAGTCTTTCTATAACAAAAGAAAAAGAAAGTAGCACTCCTAGTGATAGTTTACATTTCTGTTGAATAATCCTAGATGTTGTTTTTCATAATTTGTAGTAGTGTAGTACCGAACAAGGAAATTAGTTTTGACAGCTTGTTTTCTATTATACGCTATGTGACAAAATCATGCGAAAAAATTGTCGGAGGAAGACACATTTCTGTGTCAAAAAATTAATGAATTTATAATTCTTTCGCCCATGTAATTGTGAAACCTAGAGAAAACACGATTGCCAAATAAAACTATGGTTTCAGTAAATAATTATCGAAACTCAAGTGAATTTGGATTATTTTGATAATTAAGTATAATTTGTTAAAGATTTAGTTCGCAATACATTTACTTGTTCTAACAAGTTTTACTATAAGAGAAGTCGCATTTTAATGAATGATATTTTCCCACAAAATATAACAGTTTCTATTATATATCGAATTCTTTTTTTCTAAAGAAATTCAGTATAAAGTACTCGAAAATATAATATAATGGAAAAAAATAATGATTGTGGAAACAACAAATTAAATTTGAATAGCACTTCAGAATAATTGTTAAAGAAAACAAAGTATAACACTAGGTATTTGTCAGACGAAACAGAATAAAAAAAGACAATTATCAACAACTAGCGTTCATATTTTGATTTCTTATCAATATATCGAACTTTATTTTTCTTTTTTTCATTATTTAGAGGTATTATTCGATAAGAATATGCCATTATCAAATGCTACTATTGCTGAAATTAACGCTCTTAATTATGCCAATGAAATATTTTACTTATTTTGGGCTTTTGCATTAATTGCTCTTGGCACAATCGGTCATTCATTAAGCATTTATGTGTTTACACGTCCGATACTTCGTTCCAATCCATGTGCATGTTACTTTTTATCAGCAACGATAATAGGCTTGTTTGTGACATATGTCAATACACCACTACGTCTTCTTCAATATATCTACAATTATGATGTTTTTAAATACTCAACTGCATCATGTAAAATTCTTACATGGATTTTGCTTTGTGCCCGGTATTGTCTCTATTTTTAAACTGTCTATCAAATCATCTTCTTCTTCTTTTGTATTTTTAGGGCTCTAGCATCATGGTTTATCGTTCTTGCTTCTATTGATCGGTAAGTAGAAATTAAAGCTTCGAATTCTTATGATACAGATAGCTTTGATGCGTTATAGATATAACTCGAATTAAAAGAAATGTTTTCAAATATATTGAAGATAGTATCGACGGATCTTCAGAATTCTCGTAACGATTTTCACTGAACGCACTATTAATTGATACATACTTAATTCTTCCTACTGAAAAGAATCCTTTTTAAAGTGGTTTATTCGCTTTCAACTCTGTAAAACCCACTCTAGTCGAGTATTTCCTCGAGTCCGTGTAAAACAAAATAAAAACTATCCGACAGTTTCAAGGAATACATGCCATTCGTCAAATTGTCCCTACGCAGAGTGAGTGTAATTACATGTAAATAACATTCATAACTTAAGTTTAAAGAAAAGTTTTTGAATGAGTTCCTCCATAAAGGTCTTTCTTTACGACAGATTTCTGTGCAGTTCAACTTCTGCTACATTACGAGCGTGGAGTACTCTTCGTGTTGTATGTCGAGCGATTCCACTCATGGTGATAATTGTTGGTGTTGCATATACCCATATACTAGTTCAATATGAAAACACATCAACAGTCGGGAAATGCTACGCAGGCTCAAGTGCAAACCCACTTTTTACTGGTATCTGGAATTTGATCATATTTAGCTTAGGTCCATCGGTTATTATGCTTATTTTTGGATCGCTCACCATTCGACATGTTCAACATTCAGTAGGAAGAGTTAACGCATCGCATATTACAACTAAATCCGAAAATGCATCAGTAGCACCTATACAAGAAAAACTACAACGTCAAAAGACAGCTGATCGACAGTTAATTCGAATGATGATAGCTCAATGTGCCTACTTTGCAGTGCTGACAACTCCTATTTCAGGTTCCTATATCTATATTTCGCTAACGATAAACACAGTATTAGATGATCTCCAGTTTGCTCAAGTCAATTTGTTCACAAACATCGCCGGTCTGTTATCTACCACGGGTGCTTGTACAAGTTTCTTTGTTTTTACATTGTCAAGTAAGTTGTTTCGACATGAACTCAAGCATCTCTTCATTTGGCGATGGCGTTAGTATTCGATCACTATTCCAAACTGAGATATAGTGAAAGCAGTCAACTAGTTAATCGATTCAATCTTTAAAACATATTGCTATCATCTCATGTCATCCCATACATGTAAAGTAATAGTAAAAATGTCTTTTAGCACTTTTATTTCTTTATTCACATACGTTTGTGTATAAATTATGTCGTATCCATTTACAAGAGTCATAAAATAATAACTTTTTGTTTTTCGGTGATCTAACTATATGACGCATATTTTTATTCTATATTCAATGTCGTTTTTGTACGTATTTGCTTAAATAAATGTATATTTATTTTGTTCATCGAGATGATCATTCAATACAATCTGAATTCTGAAATTTATCTCTTATACGCATCAAAGAAACTCACTAGGGTGAAGATAGATGTGGCTGGGACTTGGTATAATTTATTCTTTTCTCATCTACATCCACAAACACACCCTCAAAATGAAAGCAAACGCTTCCAGCCGAAAGTGCAAAAAAAATCAATCAAAGAAAAACTCTCGTTTATTTCAAAAGAAGATTAGTTTTTTATCAATATATTATTAATAATCTTGTTGAATCGATTCAACTGCAGTAGACAATTTATATATACTCAAAGTAGTTTCAATATGTTCGGAGTCTAAAAAATAAGTTGTTGCCATATAATCATAAGTTTTAGCAAGTAATGAATAACGAAGTGGTATCATTCGAAAATGAAATTCATGTTCAGAAAGATAATTCTGTAAAATTAGAATTGACGTATCTGTTATTGTATCATAGTTTCTTACAAGATTAGAAAGAGTTAATGGAAATAGATTTAAATAAATATCAACACCATTTTTAAATTGATTCAATGCTTCCTCGTACTTTTCCATTTTAAAATAAATTTCACCGATTTTATAATGTAACGTTGCAATATCATAATCAAATTGCTGTGTTTCTGAAGACTTATTGTTTAATAAATGTGTTAACACTTTTTGAAAACTCTCAAGTGCAGTGGTATAATCGATTGTCTTTTTAAACGACGGATCATCGGACAGCATCATAAACGGCGAATCTTCATGTTTTATCAATGCTGTTCTACTTAAATAGTCAAGAGCTTTTTGTTTATCACCGATTTCAGAGTACGCCATACCAATAACGTGGGTGAAATCCGTCGTACTCATGTATGACAAATGTGTTTTCTGAATTCGAACCGCTTCTTTGTAATAGTCGATTGCTATTGCATACTGATGTCGAGCAGAATATGCGAACCCAATATGTCTATATATATCAACAAACAGTTTATCATGTGGTGAAATGGATCGAGACCGATAAAGCATCAATGTTTTGTAATAATTTTCGAGTGCTTCTGTATAGGATGCATTATTATAATAACTAAGCCCAAGATGCTTATAAGCCATTGGAATATATTCATCATCTTCAGATGTTTCATTTAAAAATATTCTATAAAATTCGATTGCTTTATTATATTCTTCTAGGTCATCCATCAGGTCTCCCATTGTCATAAAATCAAATGGATAACCAAATTTATCTCTTAATTGACCGATCAAATCTATAACTTGATTTTCTACTTCTTTATTTATGACCAATTTAACATTCCATATATGAGTATTTGTATCCAATGCAACTGAATGTATCTGAAATACTGTTCCAAATGTAAATAATATTTCTGATCTATAACTATTAATTATGGTATAAGAATGAATCGTTTCCGTGCTTGTATCAATATCGATTTGGAATAAAACACATTCCATGTCTGCTGATTCTGATTGCTCTAGAATATGAGTTGGTTTTTCAATTGTTGTCAAATAAAATTCATTTATAGATAAAAATCGATTAACATTCACTTTTAGTTTAATTAATTTTTCTTTTGTCATACACTGTTTGCGATATGATGTTAAAATTTAATTATTATCATCTAATAATATATTAGAATGTTGATTAGATAATTTAATCATAAGATTAATAATAAAGGATCGAAGTTTATATAAAAGATTAATATTTTTTGTTCTTAATGCTTCATTTAATAATTGAGAAATAAATGTATCAGATTTATACCATAGTATTATATCTTTAAATATATGAGGATCTTCGAGATTGACTATGTATCTTTCCATATATTGCTTAAATATATTCATAAAATCATCTGTTGCTGTTGTGCTACGTTGATGTTCTAGAAAAGTAATAGTTAACTTTTGATACAGAAGAAATGTTTGACTTTCTTTATCTAAATATTTTAGTGAAACGTTTTTCATGTCTTGTATATAAATACTCATTGATATTTTTTCTTCAGTATCAAGATCTTTTGATAGACTCTGGATAAGGCGGATGTGACTAAGAAAGTATTGATAACGTTTATTTTCCGATCCTTCACGCATAGATGTAAGTGGTATATTTCGAGGAGAAAATATATAGATTGATGGTTTGATTTGTTGCTGCTGTTGAATAATAGGACAGATTTTGTCGCAAAATTTGTCAGATAAAATAAAATAAACAGACGATGGCTGAGAGTGCAGAGGTATAGTTGAAATATAATCAGTACATTTTTGTTCTTCATCATATGTTTTTAAAGTATCTGTTAGATGACGTAACTGATATTCCATTTTTATGTATGAATCTTCTACAGTTATATCCTTCTCAACACATACAATAATAAGAGAACCATTTAGAAATGATATATTCAAAATAAAATAAATAATCATATGAAAAAAACAGTAATTTGCCATGAATTATTCGTATGTTGGTGTTCACAGTTATTTTTCGAATTTGATTTTATTCTAAAATTAAAATATTGGCATAGAGTTAACAAAGTGGTATATAAACAAAAATTCCATTTGTAGTACATTCAATCTAACGTCAGCAATAGAGAAAGAGAAATAAAAACTTCATAGAAACTCGATGAGTGTGAGTATGAATGTGGGTGAGGATGTAGACGAAAAAAAATTAATATCTACACCGACACCTATATCCCCATTTTTTCTTCTCAAGTCTATTGCTACACAATACGTAAAATTGTATAAAATTGATGAAGTAAAATGTCAAAGTTTTTCTCTTTTTTTTCTTGATACTTATATAATAATCATAAACTATCAACCTCATCTTTAGCAACGCGATATTTATATTGCATGTGTCAAGTATAATATTTACTTATTTCTTACTCATTTTTTCTAGTTAAGATAAAAGAGCAAATATTTACAGCTTAAAGTGTAATACAATATTATAAAGCCACTTTTTCCAATCTGACTCATAACACAATATGCATGTATATTTCGAAAATGATTCAACAAAAATTTAAAAAATCGATTTATCAGATTTAATTTTAACTGTTTTTTTGATCTGAGTAGGAACGATAGCAGTCGTTTCGCTCATTAACTCGCTATGAGTCTGTTTTTTTCGTTCCGCTGTCATCGAGTTTAATTTTGAGGAAAGGGGTACTTGTTTATTATCGCTCCACGAAAATTTCTTTTTATCTTCATCATTAGAGGCCGTCAAATGCAAGATTTTCAGACTTAAACCAGGATTTTAAATTGTACTCGTAACATTTTCAATGAGTTTTTTCATCTGAACATAATTGACGCTTCGAGAATACAATACATGTTTTCTTGTTTATTCATCTGGGTGACTAGCATACTCTTTACGTCTCTCAGATAATTGTGACAGTGATCTAGAAATAGTAGAATTATAATCAGATTTTACTTGTAAATGAAACATATTAGATGCTAAGTCTTTGAATGTAAACACAAACCCAGATCTGCTCAACAGAGAATTTTGGACCTCTACACGGATCTAATCCGACTGGTTCTACTCGCTATTCGCTCCTTATCCTCACTCTCGCCTTCATCATTTATCAAGAAAGCGAGAAAAGTTATGTGAACGACAATAAATAAGTACCGTTTAGTATTTTCTTACTTCAAAAAAACAATCGACTACAGTTTATTTTTCTATGCTAAGTTGAATGTTACTCATGAAATATATCTGTTAAATGCTTATCTATATTTTAGTATCACATAAAAAATGACATTTTCGTTCGAATTTATGAAACACTTAAAAAAGTTGAATGTAAAATGACATATTATCGAGACTTATAAAAATTGAATACCTACAGAACTATTGAAACTATGTTAAAATATGTCGATCTGATGAATAGTAGTATATTTAAAAATAAAATAAAAGGTATTATATATTGTTACAACATAAGTTAGTTTATCCTTTCTATTAATTAAACGTGAAAAAGAAAAGAAAGAAAAAAATATTTTACATTCGATATTCTTTCGGAAGAGCAAAATTTTATTGTTTTATTTCTTTTTCACTGATAAAAAAAGATTAGTCATGATTACTCATATGCTGAATTTTACCTTAAAGAAATAAAAAAGAATATGTTATTGCCTACATGAAATGAAATGATTACCTATAACTTCGAAAAAACCCACTTACACTTTTTATATATAGAATTGAATAAAAACGAAAAAAATAGACTCTTATTATAATGATGAATAAATCAATTGAGACATACGCTATACATTAGCAAATATATTACGAACAATATTTTATTGTATTTTCAAATAGAAATATCCAAAACTTTGTCATCTACATAAAAATCACTTTATTCATTGGCGAAATAGTATCTTTTCATGTGGATCAGATAAACTTCAACAATGGTAGACTCATAATAGATTATATTAAAATTGTTAATAAATCGTATAAAATAATTGTTATAACACCAGGAAATTATTCTCGTTCCATATTTGATTCATTTTTAATATTTTGTAAAAACAAAAATCTATATCAAAATTTAACAACAGAATATTCAAGGAAATTAATTGATATCGATATTGATTATAATATGTAACATCATCGAATAAAAACGAACGTCTTGTTGATTTAGATATGAAAGTTGGTTGGCGTTTTGAACAACCTTGTCAATATGAATTAGCATTACATCATTATAAAACGTTAATGAAAAAAATGAAGGAAACATATGATAAGACTTTATTTAAAAACTGTACAAGTGTATGAATTAGAATAAAATGGCCTATGATTATTATATTCAGTGAATAAAAAGCTGTTAGCGCAATCCCTGGTGGAATTAAAATGTGAAACACGATCTAACTGTTGTTTCTACCTTCAAGAAGATAGTTTAATTGTATTTTTATGAGGCGGATTTTGCCTCCTTCTGTGGCATAAAAGTATAGAAATACAGGAGAGAAATAATTTATATATGATGTACTCGCTTTATTGGCGTTTTAACAGCTGTGTGAGTGTGAATATCGTAATCTTTGCTCGTTTATGCCTACACCCACACTCTACATAAAGGTCTATGATACCTTGTCGATCAGGGCTGTCACCAGGTCAAAAGAACATGTGTCGGTCACGTCTGTGATGATCTATGATGCCCTATCGGTCACGTCAGTGATGGTTTGCTATGCTCGGTCGGTCACGTCTGTTATTTTTTAGCATGCTCTGTTGGTCACGTCACTGATGGTCTACTAAGCTCTATCGGTCACGTTTGTGATGGTTTCCATGATATTTCGGCTTCTTGTGCTGCTTATGTCGCTCACGTCAGTGACGCTCTGTCCGTCGCGTCTGTTATGCCCTGTCGGTTACGTCAGTGACGGTCTATGATACCATGTTAATCGCCGCCTTTGATGTTCGGTCGGTCACGTCTGTGATGTTCTGTCGGTTACGTCTGTGTGGGGGGTAGTGGGTGCAAATTTTTACCCCTTAACACTTCAACACTCCTTTTAGTTCGTGTTTCACAAAACGAGAGATAAAGATAATTTAATTAAATATTGTAAGGAAAACTATTTATATGAGCTAACTATTTATTATTTTAAGTATGTCTTTAATCTATAGGAAAGCAACTAAATGATTTAAAATTTGTTTGTACTACTTGCATCATGATTAATTCCTCTGCTCAAAACCAAATCAATAAATTGATAGAACGGTTAATAATATATGAGGAGATGGACCGTATTCATTTATACGAGTTAATTGATGTGACGTGTATTGAAGACTGTAATATGATCAAAAGAAAATCAAATATAATAAATGACATTGGACGCTAAGAAAAACCACACCTGCTATTTTTAAAAATAATTCTCAAATTGTTTATCTCTTTATTCTATAGTTAACTTTTTCTATGACATTTTGAATGAAGAAGTCTTTATTCAAAAAATTTATTTCCTAGTTAACGTATATTTCTGATGATATCTTTGATATTCAAAATGATTAGATAGCGAGGATGAGGATGTGGCAGAATTTTGTGTTCAAATTTTTCTTTTGAAGAAGTTGACCTAAGTGTCATTGATTTGACTGAAAACACAAGGATTTCTATATTCGAATCGAATGAAAAAAACAGAAAAACAAAATTGAGAACAAAACTGTGTAAATTCACGCTTTGCTATAATGATGGGTGTTGTTACAAAGCGTGTAACTGTGCATGATATAAGTGAAATAAAAAAAAAGAGAAAATGTTAATGGAAAATAAAACGTGGAAATTTTTATCAGTGTGTATCAAAATAAAAACAAACGCAGTGAAAATTGAAAGAAATTGTTTGAATTTATTAAAACTGCTATTAATTATAAATTATGGTTGACGTAACTACTATACAGTCTGGGACAGTTTTTGCGTGGTTCATGTTGACAATGGTGCTTCGACGTGTAGTAATGTTGGTTGTTGCTGGTGTCGCAGCACGTGGTAAACCTACACCACCTGGTCGAGTTCCCGAAGATTATAGAACGAAAAGAAAATCAGTAGGAACACCGATTCAAAACAGATTTACCAAGGATGTACGTGTCAATAAAACAATTACTAATGATTCAGAAAATGACACTTACTTCCTAATTTTACTCTTAGCAACAGCTGTTTTCTCTGATACTAACAATGGAAATGTTATTCGCACAATAGTCTATGGTGCTATTTATTTATTTGCTCGGATATGTTATGCAATAGCATACATCATGGGTTGGCAGCCCTGGAGAAGCCTATTCTTTGCTCTTGGTCTTGCCTGCACATTAGCTTGTAGTTTAGATCTCGTTATCACTATGTCACGACGATCCAATTGAACCTATCAATATTTCTATTTCATTAATAACTGAATTCAATGATAATCGAATATCAAGTCAAATATGACACATTTGTTTTTATATTCCGATGCTTTATTTGTCGATGTTTCTTATAAGTATTTAATTATTAATAAATCAAACGTAAAAATTTCTTCACCATTTTGTTAGTTTATCAAGAAATTATTCCCGTTCTATTCGAATTTTAATATTCAAATATCGTTGTTTTCTGTGAGAATAATTTCAGATGTGACAGCGAAAATTGAATTGTTGAAAAATGCATGAATTGCATATAATACTCATCTTGAGGATAAATGTACGATTTCTATGTCATCCACGCCCTCGGTGTTAATTTTTTCGTTTTCTTTTCTTGGAAAGCATATATTATTCGTACAAGGTTAAACGATTTAGTTTTGAGAGTAACAAGTTATCTATGGACGAACAAATATGTTCATGAATAATGAAATTAACCATTTAGTGTCAGTTCACAGCTTGTATTATTCGCACAAAGAGAAACACAAAAAGCATATCAAATTGAACTAGAAAAAAGTGTGAATTGTCAATTAACAATCTTCTCATAGCAAATCCATTGCTGAAAAGTTTTCCTTCCTCCTATAAATAAATGTGTGCTATCTACACAAATGGATCAGTGGAAAAAATAATACCTAAAACATATCATATTATTACATTTATTCAAATAATGTGTTCGCAATGGTTGATTATATTCATGTTATTTCCATTCTTACAAGTGGATCTTACTAGTGTTGTGGGTGAGTACTTCATTCAGGACGTAAATTTCGACTTATTTTAGGTTTAATCTTGAGTGATACACAAAATACTCGAAGTGTTTGAATGTGTGTATGAAATAGTCAAACTGATCAAACAAACTATCAGCATTAAAAAAAATTTCATGTTTGTGCTTGAACTGACTCACTGATCATTCTCGACAGTATATTAAGAAAGTTGATTAGTCACAATCTCTAATCAAATTTCTAAGCTTTATCAGTTGGTTCAGTTCATAAGAATATCATCAAGTATTGGACATATTAGAACTGTTTGAGAGCAGTCATCCTATTCCGCAATGTTGAACATTTCAGGAACCAGTTCCGCTCCGGAATCGATTCCGTTCAATTCCGGGAACTCGATCGACACATAATATCCGATACCCACTCGAAAATTGATCGAGTTCCGTCCAATTCCGGAATTGGTAGGAATTCCGTATAATTCCGGAATTGGTAGGAATTCCGGAATCGGTAGGAATTCCGTGTAATTCCGTAATTAGTAGTAGTCCACGCAATTCCGGAATCGGTGGGAATCGGTAGGAATTCCCAGGAATTCCGTCCAATTCCACTGA